GAGCAATTGCTACCCCAGAGCTGCCCAGGGCTCCAGTGATTTCAGTAGCTTGTCTCTGACGGTGCCATTACAGAAGGCTTCAGAGAAAAGTGCAAGAAACCTGCAGTGAAAACTGGCGAATACGCTACTTGAAGGCAAAATTTCTAGCTTGCGGCCCTCTTTCAGTTGGGTAGTGCTTCAAAACAGATGGGTTCAGAGTCTTTTCTGGAGTATATAAGTGTGTCTCTCTCAGTTAACTGTGGGTGATCTGGGGTAATATAAATGTGTAATGCGTTTGGCTGTGTAATCTTCTGGTAACTATAAAAAGCTGGGTGCTTGTAAACCAATGTTAAATTTTCATAGAACTCCAATGGTTTATTTAAGAAAAAATGAAAACAATATACTGCCCTAACTCTTTTGTTATCGCTTGCTGCTGCATGTAGGGTGTTAGGATTGTAAGAAATAGCTGTTTGCAAATCCTGTTTGCAAATATATTGCCAGATAGAACTTGGAAACTGAATGCAGCTGCAGCGGTTTGAGGGGAAGGAGGCTGATATTTGTTTGTTTGGGCCTTTTTTTTTTTTTAAACATGTTTAAAAGTAAGAAGGCTTTCCTAGAAAATAAGAAATGTGATCATTAGTGCAGGTATTAATGCCAAGCATGGAACTTTCACAGAGATGTTTTTCCTGCAGAATTTTCAATAGGCTTATGGTAAGCACTTTTTAATTTTCTTTATTCTTCTTCTTTAGCAAAAGAAACATGACATTGCGTAGAAGCACCATGCCTTAAAAATGAAAAGCTCAAACAGTTTCATCTGAAATAGAAGTTGCAGAAAGTTATGCATACAATAAAATAAAACAAATATAGCTTTTAAATCCATTTTATCAAGTATCATGGAGATCTACAAAGCTTTCAGGAATTAAATGTTTACCACTACTTGGAGCATGTCAGGTCAAAACTGCCACAGCTATTCAGGTTCTCAAGTTTTAAATGTTAGTATGAATCCGAATGGAATTTGACATAACTGTTAAATAAAATTTTTCCCCATTTCAGTATGTTCAACGTCTGTTACATTTTTAGCTGTGATTCTACATTTACGCTCCTAGGGATTTGAACAGGGTGTTTCAAAATGTGGATTAATTGCTCTCGCCCCTCAAGGGATCAAAGTTAACAGAAAATCCAAAAAAATGAGAGATGAATGAGTTCATGGAAGATCTTTGCAATATTTCACTGCTTAGTAGGAGTATAGCATAAAGAACAAAGCATATAGTGCAAAGTGGAACAATTAGCAATTTATAGAGTAAGCTCAGTGGACACATGTACAAATCAGGTATGGTTAAATCAACATTAATAAACAATATTAATCTTGTACAGTCGAAATAGAAATAAATGTCAGGACATATTAAGATAAATAGGTACTTGTTTCTGTGGAATGTACTTTTAATTTTTAGGGTTTTTATACATGTTGCCTTTGATTCTTCAAGTTATACAGTAATTTGTTTATGTGAATCTGTTTATTATCTTTAATTGTTAGAGGCATACATGGAATTGGATGACTTAAATCTTTCACTCTTAAAAAAAAAAAAAAAAAAAAAAGCAAATCTAGTTTTGACTTAAAGTTCACATGCAAAGCTTAGTGCTCTGTTTTCCTTTAAACTAGGAGCGTCAGCGGCTGGAGACAATCCTCAGTTTGTGTGCAGAATACTCCAAATCTGACAGCGACCCTGCTGCAGCTACAACGGTTGCTGATGTTCAAAAAATTAACAAAGAACTTGAAAAACTTCAGCTATCAGATGAAGATTCGGTGTTTGAAGATTCACAGATGAATCTCGAAACAAGGTTTAGAAACCACCTGAAATCATCTGCAAGTGATTCAGATTTTTCAGAGCTGAGTAATCACAGTCGCAGTGCTGGTGCTTTCCTTTCCTCTAGAGGGTTGAAAGCTGATGAACACTTCAATGAAACCAGGAAGACTCCGCCTTTAGCTCCTTCTGGCTTCCTGAAGGATTCCACTGAATCTTCCTACCTAAGTATCACGCCAAAGGTAGCACTGTGTAGAAAGAAATACTGCAGTCCAGGATTGCATGCTTAAAACCCTCCTCTAGGAGTCAATTTTCATAGCAGAGATAGCAGTCGGGGTGGCTTAGGTATAAGTCTTAACCTCAGAGTTCATCCCACTTTGTAGCCAGCACCTGAAATGGTGATCATTTTGTTTGCTGTAAAAGCTATTTACATGGGAAGCATTTTCCCACAGATGTACGGTTCAGGGAGAGTTTTAATATTTTCTGTGGGAGAATGATGTAACAATTTAAATAAGCAATGTTAAATAAGCAATGTTTCAGAAAGCCTACTTAGAGCTATTGCTGTGCTGAGATTTACCAGAAAAGGGAAGTTCTGCCACCTTCTAGGCTGAGACTCCTGTTTTCTGTAAAAAGAGGAGGGTGTTTTCTCACTAGTGAACTAGAATAGTTGTAAAGGTGGTGAAGAGGAATTGCTTGAGCTGAATTTACTGCCCTGTCCACTTCCCTAGATTGAACCTAAGCCACTTGTCTAATCAGCTGTTGTCTCTCATGAAGTGTACTGTGGCAGCTTGCCTCTTGGCACTCGCAGGCAGTTCCTACATTTGCTGCTTCTTTCTTATTTATTTCATAGTGCAGTTTTGCTACTGCAGGGGAGTTGTCCTTTAAAAATGAACTAACAGCATTCCTAACAATTGAAACATCAAAATTCTGATTTTTATATTATTTTTCAGTTTTTTGACTTCTGGGGACCTTTCCTTCAGCTAGGGCAGCAACAGCCTCGTTGGGGGTGGGGAAAGGGCCTTTCATTTGTTTTTAGATCAGAGCCTAGGGTCTGTTGTGGCAGACAAGCACTGCAGCAATATCTGGTGAAAGGCAGTGTGTTAAATAACTCTATTCAATAATTAGAATGAAGATCTTGATAAGACCAAGTAAAGCCATAAGAGCAGGTTTCTGTTTAACTCTTCACACATTGAAAACATTTTCTCTGTTTCTCCTTATTACTGTTAGAGTATATACAGTTTGTGTTATGCATGTAACCATACTAATGCTCAGATAGTGTATTTAACTTCTGTTTAACTTACATGCTTATGTTCAACAGAAGTGTGTACATGTAGAAGGAGAGAAAGAGAGAAGTAATAGAAGTGTGTTTTGTCTTATAAAGGGGTACCTCTCTGGAAATCTGCTGAGTCTTTCGATATAAAAAAGAAGTTAAACAGAAACCTGCTATTATGGCTTTACTTGATCTTCTCAGTGCTTTATGTGTTTGAAAGTTACTAGGTCATTTCATTTGCTGGTTACTGTGGTTTTGCATTTCTTTCACATTCATGTTTGTTACTTTCTTCGTGCAAGTCAGAGATCCTATTTTAAATCCTTGTTGGGAAGTGGAAATTGAAGATGTTATGTCAGCATTATCCGAACAGGATACCGGACAAAAAGAAGCTTTCCTGCTAGGATTACTAATGCTCATCAAGGAATACCGTTCATTCATTGTAAGGGGTGTTCTGCTAAGTCCAGAGAAAAGCAGTAATGAGCAACTGTGTTAATGAAACCCTGCTCGTTATTTTAATGTATTGAGGTCAGATTTGTACATGTTAAAATGCTTTCAGAATAGCCATTCAGGAGCTGAGCTGCTTTTGAGCAAGGCTGTGTGGTCTATCAGTGAATGCAGAGCCCTGCACACAGCCTGGTTCTAATTCTGACGGGAGACAATGAGTGAGCGACCTTACAAAAGTAATGTGATCGCAAGCCCTAGGGGTCAGGTGAACATGAAGAATACGTTTGAAACTCAATGCTCTTTTTGATCTGTTCTTTCCTGGTATAAGAGCACAAGTATTTTCTTAATAATGTTTTTTAATTCTAATGTCCTATTCTATATCCTAGCTTTTGTTATGTGCACAACTGAAATACACATAAAAAGTATCTTCATCCACCTATTTTATTTCTATAAGGGAAAAATCGGATTTTTACAACCTAAATAGCGCAGCATGTAAAATATTGTCAAGTGGTAGATTTTAATAATTCCTAGAGTATGAACAGTATTTACTACTCGGTATACTATTTACTTCCAGTGCCTGCAAGTAAAGTATCGTGTTTGTTTCTCTTGAACACTAATCACAGAAATAGCAATAGTAGATATAGAAATATAGGGAGTATGAAATTTGTAACAAGTTCAAAACACAATATGAAAGGGGGAAAAGAAACACAGTGTTTAACTTCTCTCTAGTAAATCTCTTGTTATGTATGATTGCAGGTACCAGAATGCCTAAGTGATGAGCAAAGAGGGCAGGAGCTCGCTCGACTGGAGGAGGAGCGCATAGCAATATTAAATAATTTGGAAGAACTTGAACAGAAGATCAAAGATTTAAATGACCAGATGGATGAATCCTCAAGAGAGGTATGAAGTATATTTTGGTTTTAAATGGCTTGCTCGTTAAATATATCTCACAGCACATGCTTGACACGTTCTACAACTATATAGGAAACTCAGGCTTGTACATACCCTTCAGATTCTCTGCTTTTTCACCAAAATTAGGTACACGGTAGAGTACTACTGGAGACTACCTGGTAGGAGACTACCTGGTAGTCTCCTGCTATCAAGGTTATTTTTCCCTAGCAGGGAGATGGCTGTGAGACTCTGGCCTTTCCCAGCTGTAACCATTATACTCCTAAATGGAATTAGAATAATCTTGCTTGTTGAATGGTCATTCAATTGATCAAAATACCTTGTGTCATTTGTGAGTTTTATGGTGGTGTCTCATGTGACCGTTTAAAGAGAAAGGAAGTGAGGTAACTTCTGTTTTAACCTCCTTGTCCTTACATTGGCAAGGTTATGTGTCCCTCTTGACTTCTGGAATCTCACAGTTGCAAACTAAGCTGGCCAGGCATTTAGGTTGTGCTTACTCCAATTATCAGCAACAGGAAAGAAACAGCTGTTTGAAAAGGATTTCACACAGAGCCTGTGCACGGATAGTTGGTATAATATCATACAGGAGGAAGCACAGAGGAGAAGAGTTAGAAAAGAAAAAGTTTTGAAAAAGAATCTTCAAACTAAAGTTGGTTTGGACTTTATTTTGCAGTATTGTATGTTGCAGTTTTACTTTTCCTCAGATTTATGATCTCTTTTTAACTTACTTTGTGGGATCAGTACTTCTTTTTAAAATGTTTCTCTGTTGTGAATAATCATCAGCTCACTCCCCTTCCCCCAGAAAAAAAGTGTGTGTCAAGATTTCTTCTTAATCTGGACTGCTTCTGAAAAATGTTTTGTGTTCCTAGTTGGATATGGAATGTGCCCTTTTGGATGGGGAACAGAAATCTGAAACAACAGAGCTTCTGAAAGAGAAGGAAATTTTGGATCATCTAAACAGGAAAATAGCTGAGCTGGAGAGAAATGTTATTGGTGAAAAGACAAAGGTAAAGAAGCTATCTTAGCTAGCTGTGTTCTCTGTTCCCCTTGATCTTCAAAATACTTTTATATAATTGATGGAGGTTATTTTGTGAAGTAGTGTCTATAAGTAAATTTACTTGATTAGTGTAGAAGAAAATCGTTTTCTCATCAACATCACCCTTTAATGGTCTCCTTTCCCAAGGTATTCTTGACAAGCAAAATATAGTATGCTTAAGTAGTGAAGCATGCTACATTGCATACAGTGAAGATATTTTAGATTAACAAAGAATCTGTCAGGACTTGGACTTGGGTTATCTATTGTTTAAAAGGACAATATTAACTGAACTGTTCCACAGTCTTTTTCATGCTGTGGGTTGTATATTTTGTTTTATTAAGAATAATTAATGTTTTTTCAGCAAAGGAATAGAATGAAAGAAGGCTGCAGTTTCAGAAGACGGCTTTGTCTTTTACTATACAGCATGATAGATAAGACATCTATCAAATTCATAGTTTTTGAAGTAATTATGTTGGTTTATTTTGTTTGTTGATTGACAATTTTAGTACTCTGGATTAATCTCTCTAGGATTAAGTCAAAGGAATTCATTAATTCTCCTGTGTAGTCGGAATATTCAGTTGCTCTCAAATAGGCAGCTACATCTGCAAAACACGCTAGCAGTATGGTGTGGTTTTTAAGTACAAGAATTGAAAGGGCCTGTAAGATAAAACTAGTCATCTTCAAACCGTAGAGAGATTGTTTCTTCTAGCACGCTCTCTGCTGGGGTTTCCAGCCAGCAGTTCCTTTCTTGTTAGGACATTCCACAGCCAATAATATCTCAAGGTCAGGAAGTTTTCCAGGACATTCAGCCAATAGTTTTCCTTTCTAAATTTCATCTTCTACCTCATAATGTTAACCAGTCACGTGTGGAAAAACTCTTTTAACTAGCTACTCTACCACTTGTTTTATACTTTCAAGAAATATTTGAAGCCTTTGCTGTGTTCTGTGTTCTTTGCTCTTGCTTAGACAAGCTGCACATTTCTAGCTCTTTCACAATTCCCATTTAATTCAAGCATTACAGCTTGCTTTGTTTTTCTTTGAGATTTTTACCTTCAATTTCTATGTACTCTGTTATGAGTCTGACCACTGTTTTGCAGTTGTATTCAGTAAACCTGCATCTGAAAAGGAAAATGGTGCTCTTACCTCTTTGCTCTGTGAAATGACACCATGCATCCAGTTTAAGCTTAAACTTTGCTGATCTTCCCTGCCTGCACCTTTCCTCATTCTCACCTTCCCCTCAATCATACTGCAGCTTTCAGTAATGCCTGTGGTCACATTTTTAAGTTGTCTCTGGACAGCTCAAGAGATGTTTCCCCTTTTGTATGTGTTCTGTTTTCATCTCAAAAGTTCAATGAAACTAATACAAATTATTCTGAAACCTGTCAGTTGAGTATATTTCCTTGCAATCATATGATAGGATGTATAACGTTTTTGTGGTAGTGTGTAGTGATCAAAAAACTAAAATAGTAAGTCTTGTTAAAAATGTTCAGTTGAATTGAAGTGTGGAAAGCAGCCTAGTAGAAGGACTTTGATTATTTAAAAAGCAGGTTTGCTTAAAACATTTTCTTCATTAAGAAGCACAGCACCGGTGAAATCAGTTTTATTTAGTTTATATTTTTATTTTAGTAATCTTTTATTCTATGTTCCTTATTAAAAAGTTTAAAAAAAAACAGTCAACTAACTAACCAAGCAAACAACCCACCCTTTGATGAGTGCTTGCACTAGACTTAAACCTGGCTCAGTTAATTCTGAAAGTATCTCTGTAGAAATAAACCAACTCAGCGAGAGACCACAGGTTACGTTCTGGAAAATGTCTGAAAGGATTGTGTAAATTTGAAAGTTTAAAAAAGAAGTGGAAGGCAAACAACCTGCAGTGAACAGGCAAAATATCGTAACATAGCAGCTGGAGTGTTTTGGAGAAAACAGTATCAAACAGCAAAACATGCCACATCTAATGCCAACAGATTAAAAAGTTCTGGCTATCTGTATACAACTTTTTTTTTTTTAATCTTGTTTTGTGTATCTATATGTTTAAGGTTACAACCCCTGCAGATCTGATCCAAGAGACAAAATCTTGGCTTTTCAGTAGTGCAGTACCGCACTTCCACAGAAAAGCAATGCACAGGTAGAAGCGCGAGGTGATAGTTTTTGTTGAAATAAAGTTAAACTTAAGGCCACCTTAAAAGAAGTAGGGCTCAGTTTTTGACTGGTAGTTGCCATTTTTCTGATGGTTTTTTTGCATTGTTCTCTTGCAAAAGCAAGTGTTCTAATGTTAATATAAGGCACACAGTTTTTTCCAGTTGCTTAAATATTTCCCCCATAGTAATATCGGTTGTCTTGGTGTTGGTAGCATATGCTGGCAAAAAATTGTTGGATCCATCCACTTCTACAATGGCTACGTTCTTGTTAGGGTAAGAAATGATATTTGAGTATACAAAATGGTATCTTCTTGAGGTGAAATAGATAGTTAATTTTGGTTATCAAATGATGCTGGGATATTGGTGCAGTACATGACGGTACTTGCCCCTGGAATGCCTCAAGGGTGACCTAAGTCTCTCTTGGAATCTGTCACTCTTCTCAGCACCTGTTTGGCAGGAAACTCCTGCCTGACTGGGTTTCTTCCGTGCTGCTGCACCTGTTTGAAAAACTTGCGTAAATTCCTGAAAAGAGAGATCGCAAACTGTGACGTAATCATTGAGCCATGTATGTACTTGAAATAGCCTGTAAATGGAAGACTGCATGCTACTTTCTACTTTTTTTCTAAATGCCTTATGCACAGTTCCTTTAAATGAGGACACAAAATTCTGCCAACTTTTTCAGTCTTAAAGCCACAGTTTAAAAAGAAGTTTCTAGCCCTTGTGTTAACAAGGCAGTGCTTGTGAAGCATGAGAATTAATTGAAAAGTGTACCTGAAGACAGAAGGCAAAGAGAAGAAACCTAGCTCTCTTTCTCTTTCTCCTCCCGCTTCTTCTATAGATGTACCTAATGTATACGTTTCATAGTTGTATGGTTATATTTAAACTTTCTTAAGGCAGTTTCACTATTCTTGGCTATTCCATTTCATATTTTCTGAACACTTTTGTTTTGGCCTTATGGACAGCATTTTGAACGTCCTAGCATTAATCCTTCAAAATGCAAAATAACTATTGTCTTTCTGGACTGAAAAGAGGAACCGTGGCATGAAGGAAAATAGTACTGGAACTGGGAAACAATTAGAGCCATCTTGTGTCAGGCAATACACAAGAGAAAGGAAAAGAAGAGATTTCGGGAAAGTGTGGTATAAGTAGAGGGCTTGTACTTGGCATGGATGCTTGTGAGTTTAATTTTTGGCGGCGCCAGTAAGTGCTTTGCTGGAATACAATGTCTTTGTGTCTCAGCATCTTGCTTGTAAATCAGGAACAGGTTTTGTGAGTGTGTTTGTACATTGTTTGGTACATTGCATTCTGATCTTATTTGAAGCCTATCAACCCTACCAGAATGTATGCCAGGACTAAACGGTGATGAAGAATGAATGAATCAGTGAGGAGGATTATGTGATTATGCAGGGACAACTCTTAAGAAGTCAGTAGTAACACAGTTTGACACGTGTAGCTTGAAGCTCTCTAGGAGGAGCTTTGCTACAGATTTTGACAAAATTATTTTGAGCACAGCCTGCCTTGGAGACGACTGAATGAACAAGTGAGCCAGTCATCCAATCTCCCTTTTTCCCTGCCATCCGGACCCAACTTCCTGTAATTACCGCAGCAGTCATGTCATATTACTGTACTGTACATATACAATAATGTTACTATTGTTTTGAGTGAAATAGCACCTCAGTTCCACTGCGCTATTTACAGTTATGACTTCCTCGCAATTACTTTTAGTCCAGAATTGACATTTGCCTGTAAGGAAGTTGGGAGAAAATCGTACTTACCTAATTTTGCGTTATCCAGATTTGCAGAGTACTTTCTTTTCATACACCGCTTCCTTTGTTTGAATAGTTTTAAAATGTGCAGTTTAGTGAATGTTGAAAGAACACTTAATGACTCACCATCCCTGACATCTCAAAGTTAAAGCATGGGGGTGAAAGTAATAATACAAAAGGGAAAAGAAATAATGGATATGTGAACATAATAAACAGGAATAACTCAAAATGAATAATGAGTTCAGCGGGAGCGCTGTTGGAGGTAAGCACAGTTGAATGGGAATTTTGGCAGAGCGCTTCAAAACAATTACCTATGAAAAGTTGCAGACTGCATTTGGGGAAAGAGAGGCTATTTTTGTTCTTCTTGAGGGCCTTTGCTTTAAATCGTGGTAGAAACACATACCCTGGAACTCTTGTCTTCTATCACACAGGGCTTTCTTTCCCTTTTCAAGAGCAAGTTCCTGACAGAAATCAGAAGCAGCTGGTGCGGCTAACCCATTTTTTTGGAAAACATTTTATTTTGTCTGCAGGCTTTTGTGGAAATATTTTTCAGTCATTAACAGACTATCCCAGATATGCTAAAACATTTGAAACGCCGCCTCTTTGCCGAATCCGTACTGCAAAGACTTCCAGAGCCAAGGAAAGAACAGCTGTCTGATAATCCATGTGAAGAGGGACACCAGCAATCATAATTAAAAATAGCAGTGATCTCTCATGAATGCTTTCTCTTCTATATTCAAAATTCCTGTTGTTGTTTTTTATCCTGATGAATCTGACAAATTTATGTCATAACCTTTTAAATCTTTCCTGGTCAAATTCCACTTCAGCAAAGTGTTTAAGTAGAGGTACTAAGTCAATGAGTTATCTTGTCTAGAACACTAGTTACCTCCTTAAGACAAGATACACGAGATTAAGTATTCATAGGAGACCACACAAGGATATGCAGTGGAGAAGACACTAATGAAGGAGAAGATCATTATGAAGAATCAAGGAGAAAAAAACTGAATCCCCAAGCTTTCTTTTAAGACAGCTGTGAGGAGAATAACAGAAGAAAGGGGTTCTACCAGTAAAGGAAAACCTCTTGTTATCATCTAGATGTTGAAGACTGTATAGAATTTTAATTTCTTGCTTTAAATGTTTATTTTGGTTTGGATGATTATTTCCTCCTCTTCTCCATTCACGAAGAAAAAGTACTGTAGAAGCAGGGGTTTTTGTTTGCCTCTCTGTTCAATAGAGCAACACCTTGCAATGGTCAGAGAATGAGCTTAAAAATTCCAAAAACTTGAATTGTCTTAGGAACAAGTTTATGTGTGCATCTGTTGTGATTTTTACTTACAGTAGAGGCATTACTCAGCCTGATTTAAAATGCTTTTTAACGTTAGTTTTACACATGCATGTGAAACAAAACCCTTAAGAAGAGATCTCTCTAACCAACTCCATCGCTGCACAGTCTGTTGTGGTATGTGATAAATTAGTTACTCCTTGAACAGTAAAAAGAAATCATTATGAATGCCTTCTCCCATCATATTATTCTCCTTTTCATATGGCTGAAATATATTTCTTGTTCTGTTAATGCCTTCTTTCATGAAACCAACAAGGGTTCAGTGACAAATAACTGGATCGTGCCAGATTTTTAGGCTTCTTTACTGAAACAGATCAAGGAATGCAGGAAAGAGTAGTCTTAAAATATAGAAGAAGAACGTGTACAGTTTTTCTGTACAGTAGGGTCTGTTGTGTTTCAACAGTATTTTTAATCAAAGTTGCATGCAGTCCTGTTCCTTCCACAAATGCCAGCCATAGCATTGGAAATGCTTTCAAGAGTGCTGGAAGCGTTGGTCGGCCTCAGCTTTAATGCTTTCCCCAACTGCACTGTTTGCCCCTTGAGTAACCACCAAAGAGCAGATAACATTTCCCAACCTCTCTGTTAGGGAATAGGTTACTTTCTTACAGATTCGTGGCAAGAGTTAACCAGTTTAATTAGCCAGTTGTTAAAGGCAGATTTTCATCCTCTTCTGCTTCCTTTCTTCCAGAATGTTTTGCTAATTGAACAAGCTGTAGTGTCGCACTGCTTTCAATTGGAAAGGAGTTACTTCTGTAGCATGTTTCTTCTCCCCTGCTTCTAGCTGGCAGTCCTGTTTGCTGTAGATTTGGGAGAAGCGGGGGGAACGTTGTTTGGAGCATATAACAAGGAAAGGGGTGAAAGCATAAAGGTGAGATGGGAAGCTCTTTGGACCAAAGAACTGTGTATGTTTCTCCTTACTTGTCAGAGAACCTGTGAAAGTTTTGACACTAGGCTATTCCCTGTTTGAGGGAAAGGGCATGAATGTAGGAGGAGCCATGTATTTAAAGGCTACCACTATAAAATATGACAAGTTGCAAGTGAGATGAACTGAGGAAGATCCTGGAGTATTTCAAACTGGACCATTTAAAGTAGAAGAGCCTGCTGGATGGAAAGGCATTCAGTAATGTATTTTCTTTTCTTGATTTATGGCTTGTAGGTGGCTTCTTTGCTGTTTCTTTCTGATAATAACACATACTGATTTTTCTTTTATAAGATTGTAGAGTGAGTCCTATTCACCTAGCCATACAGTCCGTTTCACAGTAACCTGGTACAAAGGTGGATTTTGTTCGTTTTTTTTTTTTTTTTTACAATTTTCATTTGGATTTTTACACATTTTTCTACCTGTTTTGTGCACATTTACTCTGACTCATTGCTGCAGAATCCACCAGTGTACGTGGCAAAGTTGCTTCCAAAGGCACATATATGCAGTTTGTGTTTTAAAATTTTAGCCTTCCTGCAGTAGCAGGATGTGGTGAATGGCAAATTGAAAAGCAGCCCCTTTTCTCTGCAGAAGGGATGTGACGACCTGCTGGGGTTTAAATAGCAGTATTGAACAGGCATACAGCGTCCTTAACCACAGGAGACAACTGAAACAATTTGTGTCTCAGTTGTGTGTCTCTGTTCTTTCCTTTGTTCCCATTCTTGTAGGGGCTATGATTGTTCTTAATACTTTTATCCCTCTGTGTCTTCACTATCTATGGGATATTTTACATGTGTTGCATATATGTTCTTGTTCTCTCTTTTGCCCTAAAATCAAAGGTCTGAAGATTGAATTTCTCTGGTGACCCATGTTGATCACTTATGGTCTGTGTTCATACCCACGGAGGCTCTGCTACCATCCTGTGTCACAGTTATAAATCCAGCTCTCTATCCCTGCTGATCCCAGGTTCATTTAACGTATATCCAGGGGCAGGACGTAATGCAAATTAGGTAGTATGCTAAGATCAGGTGTTATACTTCACCGAGCCGGTCTTCTCTTGCATGGAAACAGCGTGTTAAGAATTCAGTCAGGCTACAGTTAATGTAACACCAGAATGAGCACTAGGGCTGGAAAACAGTTGTTTGCAGAAAAATGTTTAATGAGCACAAGTTCATGTGGTTAAGATGAGGATGAGCAGCTTGAACACATGGGTTTTATTTACAGCTACGCCACTGGTTGTTGTTGAACAAACAGCTTACAGTGAGCTGAAGAACTTTCTTTGATCCATTTATAGAAAAGACTGTGTGGAAAAAACATTGATTATTCAGTTCATGTATTTATCAAATTATCTGTGTGAATTACATGAACTTAGCCAAAGCAAAATTAGAGATGTGGGTGAACTTAATTCCACAGCTGCAAAACATAATGCCTCTGAGAGCTGAAAGTGATATTTCCTGTTAAGACTGCATGTTTTGAAGGGAGCCAGTTGGGTGGGCTGTGAGCACTTCCTATGCTATAAATAGACCAGATGAGTATCACTTTCAGTCTCAAAGGAATACCTTTCTAATTTCTAGAGGGAGGTACTATCATCTCTGGCATGATTCTCTGTTTTATACGTGCTGATGATATCTCTTCACACTTGGATTTGACTTGCTCGTTAATGAATGAGTGTGCTTGTTGCAGTGCATAGACACTTAGAGAGCTATAGATAGTTTCAGAGTAGTGATACTGTATGTAAGGTCACAGAAGTCCTTGCTTCTGTAAATTGTTGCTTTCTTCCCTTTTCCGTCTACCTAGCAACGTGACAGACCGTAGGTTGAATGTTAAATGGGCAAAAGGTTTGTAACGAGGAGAACTACTGATTTATGCAAAAGTTTCCTTTTGGGTTGGAAGTTGATTCAGGAAATGGGGGACAAAGGTTTAGAGATGACATCTGAAGGGTTTCCAGCTTCTCTGCCATGCTGCAGTTTGCACGTTCCACCTCTTTTTCTGAGCTCTGCTTTTGTTGTTATGATAGAATCCAGTTCAGGAAGCCCAGGTAATTGTGTATGCTGGCTCAGTCGCTCATTTTTACAAGCTTATTAAAAAAAAAAAAAATCTATTTGTTGTGTTTGGCACTCTTGCTAATCTGATTACATGGGTGGAGAAGCTGCCTATGTACATGAAAATAACAAACCTGGGAATTTAGTTTGCGTTTGGCTTGAACGTGAATGCTTCTTGTTGTTGTTTTTAAATCCTGGGAAAATGAAATCCCAGCCGCTGATCCTGCTCCGATTTAGAGATAAAACTATAAAGAACGCAGGTAACTAATGTAAGTTTGTTATTGTGCCTCTGCCATGAGTAAGAGTTTGAGAACCATATCGGGAACAATAAAAAGTAGTTTTGGAAGAAAGACCATCCAGCAGTTTGAAATGACAAGTTACATATGGTAAAAGAAGTTTCCTTTTTATGGCACGTGCCATAGGGTGCTGCATTGTCTGACCACGTAGCACTTGCTGAACAAAACACTTCATTTTAAAATTAATTAGTAGTTGGGACCGGAAAAAGAACAAATGAGTAGATACTGTGTCAGAATTCAACAGTTCTTGGAGCATCTGAAAGACAAAGCTGGAATATTTGGACTGATACTGTGAGTTTTTGAGTATTACTGTTAGAGACCACCTGAGAAAAGACATGCATAACTATGGAGCAAAAAGTAGAAAAAAGGAACTGTATCAATGTGACTCTAGAAGGTAGCAAAGAGACCTGGACTTCAGAGACTATTTGATTGCTTCAGCTTTTATGGCATATCAGGCATATTATTTTTTCCAGTTATGAATTGTTCAGTTGAAGAAAATGCATCTGGTGTGTTGGCCAGTGCAGATGCAAGTAAATGGCCTTGACAGAATTCTATGTACTCTGATCTCTTGGTTCTAAATTTTGGTCCAGATAGATAATAGTCCACAAGGTAGTTTTAAGTGATTTGCAACCGATCTTCAGAACAGTGCTGCATAGTAAAATATGTAATACTTTATTACAAAGACTTAAAGGTTAAAGGCTTTTGAGGTGATAAGTGCTGTGTTGAGTACTGCTGTGCTAGTGGGACAAGAGGAAAGCTTGACTAGTTACAAGAGATTGTAGGGAGGTAGAGCAGATCCCAGAGAATAGGATACCGTTCCAGCATCCTGAAGCCAACGGAGTCATCTGTTAAATCATTTGCTGTTTCTGCTGCAAGAAAATTTCCTGCCCAAAGTTATTTCTTCATAAAACTCTAGCTTGTTATATCTTTTCACTGCTTGCTAAATGTATTCATCTATGCACACGCGTCTGGGCATGTAATTCATTCCCTTGGAAAGTGCCAGTTTCCCCTCACTGCCAGACTAGATCATTTGAAGAAGGATCACTTCCTCACTGCCAGAAGGATCATTTGCGATCCTTTTCCCTTTCTGAAAGCTGCTCTTTCCTCTTCCCTTCATCTGTTACCTGACTAACATGGCTACTGTTTCCTCATCTTTTTTTCATTTGGTGAGACAGTATTTAGGCAATGGGCTTGAAAGGCATCATCAAGGCACAGGTACAAAACACAGTGATAAGGGAGAGAATTAATTGCCCCACTAAAATGGTAAATGTTTTGTTTTGATCACTTTACCTCCAGTCATTACATTTCAACTAACAAGAGGTTTCTGTCTTTGACCTACATGCTGCAACTGTTCTTTTAGGTTTTGCCACACACTGTCATAATCACTAACAACTGCTTGGGTTTGAAGGTAATTCTGTTTATTTTCTGGTTCATGCTTCAGGAAAAATTAAAACTTGATGCTGAGAGGGAAAAACTAGAGAGGCTTCAGGAGCTTTACTCCGAGCAGAAGACGCAGCTTGATAATTGCCCTGAGTCCATGAGGGAACAATTACAGCAGCAGCTCAAGAGGGTCAGTAGCAAGTTTCAAGATTACATTTTTTTCATTAATTTTAGAGTTAAGCGTAACATATTCTGTTTCACTTATCCAACAAATTGCCTGAACATACTTGCATTGTGTAATTGTTAATAGTCGTGAGGTTACCTTTTTGTAGAACGTTTGTGATAAGTATTTTGCATGGTGGCAAACAAGTAGCATGCAAATGGATGGATTAGAAATAGTTTTGTGCTGAATGTTTTTAAAGCTTTGGGCTACTTGCTTGTAATTAGCACCCCAGGCCTAGTGGCTGATATGAAAGCTGTTGGAATCATGATATTTGGATGGACATTAGAGCATTACTCTTTAACTGAATGAGTGAAGAATGACTATTGAACCTCAGTTAGTGAGATCTATTCTTTTAGCACTTTACTGCCATTATTTTTTGATACAGTTGTGTAATCCTCTTTTGCAATGGTATAAGTTGCTCTCTCTCTGAAACCATGCATAGCTTATTATTTTCAGCACATAATTTAGGTGTTAGCCTGAATTGTGCCTTGAAATGTTCATTCTGAAGTTTATTTCACTAATTTTCCTAGCTTTATTTTTTCCTACGTTCTCAACGGCTGAACATTAGTATTTTTTTCAGCCCTTGTGTAATCTAATTGCAACTTGACTTATCTGTAACCTAAAAATCTACAATATTTTATGTTGTAGGTTAAAGTACCATTATTTTCTGAGGAAAGACGTTGAAGTGGTTTTGGTATTCATTAACATTAAGTAGGTTCTGCAGCACATGTAGGCAGCTGTAGCAGGAAAAAAATTATTTTTCCAAGTATCAGTACTGCAAGCTCAAGATGACATTTGAAAGTCAAACTTGAATTTTTTTCTGGCTTGAGCGTTTATATCAGTAATACTATCTGTTACAGCAATGACCAAAAAAAGACTTTTTTGTTTTGCAGGAAATATTCTTTTAAATACTGACTATTTTTTTCCTAATAATTACGTTTTGTTTTATTTGCTGAATTCTGTTTTAGTTTTCAAGGAATTAAAAAAGTAAAAAAGGTCCAGCTTTGGAAATATCAATGTTAAGTAATTCTGTAGTATTTGAGGATTTTTATAAGTTACTTAACAAATATGAAGTATCATATAATATGTCATAAGAGTTAAGAAGAAAAAGAAGCCATTCCTATGCTGTCCTTTATTTGAAAGTATTAACTTGTGGGAAGTTGCAGTCCTGTTGCTGCGGGATGGTAGTAAATCCTTTTTCGCTATTGACTATCAAGAGCCTTCAAGGAATCTGTTTGGTTAAACATACTTTTCCCCTTTCGAGTTGGCTTAGTAACAGTTTTGAACTGAAAATTGGAGCAAAACATGAAATGTGGGGGTGCAGTTAAATATACAGCTGCTTCTATTACATACTAGTCCAGCCCAATTGTAGTGCAAGTTTGCTGTGATTGGAGCAGTATAAGTCACCTCTAAAACAGTGCACAGTATCTGTCAGATGGATATCAGGTGTGAGAGCAGCTACGACTTTACTCTAAATATCCTACCCAATGTAGAGAAAATCTCTTCTCCCTCAGAAATAAGTCCAGTACAGGATTAAGTACCTGAGTTTGAAGCAGGTTACGTTGTGTTATTTTACTGCCAATACAGTAAGCCCTAGATGCAGGTGCTGAACAACAGTGTTGCTTCGATTCTGGGACTTGAGAGCTGATAAACATTTATAGCAGCTTTGTGAAATGAGAGCCCAGTGAGCTGGCAGCAAATGTCACACAAGTGGCTGATTGCACTGGGGAGATGGAGTCTGGGTTGGGATTGGAAGTAGGTGCTTGGGAAATTATGTACACATCATTGACTGAGAGCTGTTTCCTGCTGTTTGTAATTTTATTAAATACTTCTCCTGTTAGGCGGGGAGACCACTTCATCAGTGACTGGTGAAACCTGAGGACTTATAGAAGGTGCTCAGGGAAAGCATTAATCTGTCTGATGGCTTATTAAAACTTTACTAGCATGCTCTACTTGCTTAGCTCTCAGTATGAAAGCACCAAAGCTTCTGCTGTTTCTTTGTTCTCCTGTGTCTGGGTTCATTGAAATATGCAACAAAGGAAGAATGAAGATAGATAACTGGATTCCTGCACGATTCTGAAAAGAAACTGCCCACTGTTAAGAAATACCTTACTGCTCAGATAACATTGTTCTAGTTCTTACGGATGTTGTCTGCCTGGAGAGCTCCCACCATATTCTTACCAATAAGTAAAGTCTAGGTTCTCTCCCAGTGAATTTTGTCCACTGCCATTGCAGAAATAATGGAAATGTTGGACAAATTTATGATTTGGAAGGCCAATGTGGAAATGTTGTGTATGTTGTTTGTTAATAGATTTGCATGTTTTCATGTTGATCGTTTTAGTAAAAGGTAGGTACTTGCTATGTGGTTCAGGAAGGTATTATCTACAGCCAAAACAATTACTCCCTTCCAGGTAGGATCCTGGAGAAGGTTATGGTGAGAGGCCTGCGACAGCTTCTCAGAACCAGAGCGTTTGCCCTTGCTGCACTGCTGTGATCCCACAGACCGCTCAGGGTCTAAGTCTCCGCTGAGTCTAGCTGGTTGATAATCTTGCTGCAAGGCGCTTAGAGCCACTGTTAAAACTAAACCACTGCCGCTTGCAGATTGGAAGGTTTTTAATTTGAAAATGGACTTGGTTTTGAATTTGGTACATTTTTTTCAGGTAGACATAGTAGAACAGAATGTGGTAAAATACTTGTTCCGTAGTGTATCTTACAAAGAATATAATAGTTCAGGTGAATTAGCTATCAGTTGTCTTTTGGACAGAATTTGCTGCTGAGTTGGACAAATATATTCACAAAGGAATTAGAAACAGCCTTCTCTGAAGTCTGTCTCTTCTTCTACCTCAGTAGCGATTGATTTGATGCGAAGTAGCCTGAATTTATTGACCTTCATGGCCTGGGCAAAGCCCTTTTCAATGCTGAAAATTGCTGGCTGGTTTGAATGGAGCATTTTTGTGTTGTAGGTAATAGCTTCTTATATCATTTTTAGCCAATGTGCTCGTCTTTGCTTTCAGTCTCTGTATTATCTACTGGAAGTGAAAGGTGCATCGGCTGGAGAAGTGACAAGATGTTGATATTTTGCTTAGTGACTTGGAGTCTTCAGCTCTTGTATCCTGGGTCTTTCCCGGGTACAGCGGCAGCCTGTTTTGAATGCTTTTACAAAGAGCTATCTGCTCATCATCAGTCACCAATCTTTGCCTTAGGCTGAAATAAGAAAAAGATTAAGTTTGCATTTCTCTTCAGCTCTCTGGAATTTATAAATAGGCGTTCATGTTCTGAATATACAGATAGTGCAGGAGAAAGATTAACTTTCAGTTCTTGCGCTGAAAAGCACTGACATTATATCTGGTTGTGCATAAGTGGAAGGCAGATGTGTTCTTACTTCTTGGGAACTTTCTGCAACATTCAGCCTCTTTTCCTGACAAAATCTGGCATTGGTCCATGGGAATGCCAACAGTTGATTTGATGCTTTTTCTGAAATAATACATCTACTGACTAGCATTGATGTATGCATGACTGGAGTCTGTAATTGTGTACTTACCTTGGGAATAATTGTGTCTGCTCCAGTTCAGGGTCCGCACATAGCCACCAGTCGAACAACTGGTGTGGTAGGACATTGCTACTCAGGTGATGGAAGTGTGCAAATGATATGTAACTCCACATATCTTCCCTCTTATATGACCATATCTCTGTTACTAAAAAGGCACAGTACTTGGGCTAAACTTGAAGAAATTATAACCACAGTTCAGCCTTCTTCATTTGAGGGTGTATCCCCATAATTAATTCAGTGTTACTGGAATAATACTTCCTGCCTGTCTTGGTTGTTAAGTAGATGCTAACCCAACTGGGCGTGTGGCAACCTCACCAAATTGGTTCACACCTTAGTTGTGTTGCAACTAGGCTACAGCAGAGTGATCTGTCTAACCAGGATGCGCTCAGTGCTTCAGAGGCTCCAACTTGCTCCGAACACTATAATAAACAACTTACTTACAATATAGGTGATTCATCTTTCTCAGGAAGTGGAGCGCTAGGAGTGATGGGAAAGCAACAGAAAAATAATGATTAGAACTATTTACTCTCTTATTATAAACAGTAGGTCATAAAACACTGAGCTTCTGTCTGTTTGAACAAGCTGTGTGAGAAACAAAAATACTGCTTTAGAATGTGATTTTTGTGTTTTTTTAAAAGTATCTCTTTTATGGTCACAGTAAACGCAAGACTACTTTTCCCTTTTGCTTAAGGATGCTGATCTATTGGACATAGAAAGCAAACATTTTGAAGATTTGGAATTTCAGCAGCTTGAACATGAGAGCAGGTTAGATGAAGAGAAAGAAAACCTGACACAACAGCTCCTGCGTGAAGTAGCTGAATATCAGCGTAGCATTGTCAGTAGAAAGGTAAAAGAATGAAAACTCAGTTCATCTATTTTTTTGTTGCTTTGCATAAAGGACATAAAATGGATCTGGAACCTGCCCATCTGTAAGAAATAACACAAAACTTTTCTCTTTGAAAAAGCATTTGCAGCAGAGTAAAGATGATGGCCCAGTAACATCCCCCACATATCAAATCGTGCAATTCTCCAAAAAGGAAATAAGACAATAAAATGTAAAACGCTGTTTACATATTTGCATATGCAAATAACTCCACCCTCAAATTTGCAACACAAAGTACCAAAGCATTGGTTTTTTTTTTTTCATTAAGCAAGGAGATTTTCACGCTGTGGACATAACTACTGTTATTTGATTCAGCCATAATGATTTTATTAAAAATAATAGAACACAAAATGAAGAAAATTTCTTTATTTTTAAAATCAGTTGTAAAGGTTTTATTTCAACCAATTAAATATCAGTTTTGAGAGACCAGAAGTGGCATCTCTAAACCAATTCTATTCAATATAAGGGTGATAATTTATCATATTATCAAAGGATATATGTAATTGTCGTCTCTTAGAGAAATAGTCTCCTTACTATCCAAATCCTATTAAACCATCTCCTTCAGAGCAGTGGACTGTCAAGTAAAAACTTCTTTTCCTACTGTTTAAACTCTCGTGAATATAATCCATGCTGGAGGTTGTCTTGTGCTTTCAAAATTAAACATGTAAAATGTGATTGTTCTGTTTTTTTGTATTAGGAAAAGATTTCTGCTCTCAAAAAGCAAGCCACTCATATTGTCCAACAAGCACAAAGAGAACAAGATCATTTTGTAAAAGAGAAAAATAACTTAATAATGATGCTGCAAAGGGTAAGTATTTCTTGTCTTTCAAATATGTTAAACGTGTAATAAAAGAGCATTACATATAACAAAAGATCTTAGAACATGAGAAAAGCATCTGTTGTGCGGAAGCTGGCAAGTCTGTATTATCTTAATAGACGTATTTTGAATCCAGCATCTTGAAAAAAAGGAAAAAATATATTTTTCAATTTAATTAAATTTAATTAATCAGCAGATTTTTCTAAGGGAAAGCTGTAATGGCATTTGATGATAGAAAGGGATTTAAAGGTGTTATCGTTTAGGAGGATTCAACCTGAGGCATCCACCTAGGTGCTGAAGCTAGAAGCCTGCGGGCGCTCTCAGAGAGAGCCAGCTCTCTCTGTAGGTACTGGAATTGTCAGAGGGCTATTGAAGACGTGACAGCCAGAAGCTTGCCTCTCTCTGCTAGCTGAGCAGGGATTCTCAGCCCTGTGTTAAATTCATAAAATTAGTGTGAGGACCTAATATCAAACAAAATTTATGCATGGAAAGATAATAAACAAAACCTGGCCTTTGCGGTTAGGATTTTGTAATATGGTACTGTAATGCTTGCAGTGAATCTAGCAAAGAATTTCTGAAACTAGGCACAAAAAGCCTAGCAAAGATTTTTGCTTTGTAATAGCCTATACTAAGCCACAAAATTAGCTATTTAATACATCAGTGAACATCTGGCTTAAAAAAAAAAGCTGGCATGAACCCTTCCTATTTCTTTTTTTGTTTTGTTTTTAATCATGAGACAAACCACGTTTAGTCTGTTAGTTGTTAGCAGCAGCATTTTCAGATTGTTGAAAACCTTCAGCGTTTTTGAGGAGCTTTTTGCTTGACTTTTTTTCCACCTTCAACAATTTAATAGGGTTTGTTTTTTTCCCCCAATGAAGCCCAACTTTTTTTTCGTCTCAGAAAGCCTCAAACTGAGAACCATCAAATATTGAACCAGTTCTGGTAGTCCGTGAATGTTACGATGGTGTACACTATGGTTCCTGTTGATTTCAAAGGACTCCAGACCAAACTGAGAGAGACTGTATCCATGATTACTTCTAGACTAAGGGACCGGGGAGCTTTTTGGAGCTCCCAGGTGTATGTGAACATGACTGGTGCCATCTGACTGTGTAAGGTGACACTCAGGCCAACACTGGTCCCCCACTTCCCCTCGCAATCAAATATGATTCCAATGCAAGTGGTCCCTGTACAGAGACCAGCGGGGATGATCCGACTAGGTTGCTAGTCCGAACTGGTGGAAGACGAGGATCTCGAATGCCCATAGCACACTCCTACAGGCCAGTTTAGACATAGTCTGAGACTTCCAGATGCTGCTTTTTAAAGATTTTTTTTTTGCATCTAGATCTACTCTTTTGAATCTTTGGGGAGCATCTTGTTGGAGGCTGCTAGAGGCTCAGTCCTGCTGCATAAGTGAACAAAGTTGGAGTTCTGCTGTATAATTTCTAGCTGTCTATCTTGGAGAGTTTCTTTATCCTCTTAAAAAAAAATGGCTAACATTTTTTTTTCACTACATTGCTATTGATTTTTTAATGTAAACTCTGTCTGTAATTAACAGGAAAAAGAGAATCTCTGTAATCTGGAAAAGAAATATTCTTCACTTTCTGGAGGAAAGGGATTTCCTGTCAGTCCCAATAGTCTAAAAGAGGTAAACAGGTTTCATTGCTTTTTACTTTACTGTGTCATAGGCTTAACTTTAAGTAACAGCTTACATGAAAGCTCTTTAGTATTTAGTGGCTAGTCATACACTTTTTTGGAGATGATGAAATTACTTTGTCAAGATATACAAATGCATAATAAGGCAAAAATAGTCTCTCTGACATTTTCCCTGATGTGACTGGCCCTGAATAAATTACCATTTTATACCGGGGAGAGGGAGGATCTCACTTTCTCAAACTAGACAATTAAATGTCACTGAAATTAAAAAAAAAAAAAAACCCTCCAGGAATAATTCTGTGTTGAATACGTATTTCAGAGTTTTATTTGCATTATGCATTTTATCATTGGCCCCTCTCCACCCTCTCTGCCCTCTCCTCCCTCTCCAGAGATGCATTACAAATGTACATTTTGATCTTTTTAAAAAGCATTGAGTTAAAGATCTCAAGCTATTGTAGTCACAAGATCACTATGGAGCTATTTATTTAATCATTGTGAATAGTGAAAGTAATGGTGCCAAATATTTTTGCTGGAAAATTTGAGGTAGCTGAGGGTAATGCATGAGACTGAGCTTACATGCACCTGTCAAGACTTCTTAGCCTTGAGGTTACCAGTTTAAGCCCTCATACTCAAGATCTGTGAACAAGGTCAGTGTAAGGTAAGCCACAGAGTATTGCGAGGATTCAGTTAGCATATATAACATTAAGTGTCCATGTTTATCCTCTTGACCTGAGTTAATGAAGTTTTTAAGTTCACAGTGAAGTTGTAAGTGGAGAAACAGAAAAACTAGCATTTAAAATACACTGACAGGTATCTGTGCTGCAAGCACTCTCAGTGCCTGGGAAATGTGATCTTGCTTGTTTGGCCTTGAAGTTCCTGGTGAACCAGGATGGCCTTCAAAACACGGCAGCGGGGCTGGGCGTCCTTCCTGACCGCAAGATGTGTTGCGGATGCTTAAGCATACCCAGACTTTCAGTGTCCTAGGTTGTGCTCTGATGTGGACATCTGACCCCCCCCATCAGGCAAGTCTAAGCTTCACGTATGTTCTTCTGAGATAGATCTATTTATTTTCTCAATAGCAAGAGGTGCTATTTCTGATTTTTTTTTTCCCCCTTGTATCCACATAATGGTTTGTTTAATGACAGCTATTTCAAAATGCAATGACATTAAGTGAGCCTGACAGTCCTTTTATTGAAATGGTTTATTCATCAATGTTATTCTATTCACTGCAGTGAAATTACTTAAGATGATTTACTTTAAGATAAATGAGAGAAGGAACAGCACGTTACCTGTTTTATACTCGGCATCTCCTTAGGCTCCCTCCTTTATAAGAAACAACTTTCTTTGCCAGCTGTTATGTTTTGTCCCACTTCAGTTTAGATTTGTCTGACTGTTCTTCTGTTCAGGCAGCTTTAAAAATTTGACCCGAAGTGGTACACAGACTTAAAGAGACTCCCTGCGCTCGGAAGTTAATTTCACCATGCAGTTGTTCATGTATCAATTGGGAGTTTAGTTTGTGCTCTCACGTTTCCCTACCCTTCCCCAAGAAAGCATACATTTCTAACTCTTTTCCATCCACCATGAAGTTCACTCCCTGTCTGCATAGCAGTAGAGAGTGAGAGAGCCTCATAGAGTAAAGAAGGAGGATGCTTACCCCAGAACTTAAATAAGGAAAATCTGTGCTGTTTTTAAAAAAGTTCAGGGTTGACAAAGCTTGACTTGGACCTACTGTAGCAGGGGCCTGAGCAATGCCCAGTGAAGTCTTTTTAACCTGTAGGGAACAAGATTGGGATTATAAGAGTCTGAACTGAATGCTTTTCGCATAATGTTGTTTATCACCTATGGAAATGAATGCAATATCACTCAGGAACTCATTCTTTCAATCCCAGTTCTATTTAATTCCATAGACTTGTGAAGTTTCGATCACTTATAGTGTTGCTACAGTATGGTTAAGCAAGTTTTATGTTTATTCATGCTGGATTTTATTTTACTCTACTATGGCCACGTGTTTTGAGAGGAAAAGTGTAGTAGCTTGTGCAGTCTCCTTCTCATTTAATAGTTCATCAAACTGTATCTGAGTTAAGATTTGCCTCCTATTTCTAGAGTGCTGTGTTCAGGGTAAGGACTTAAGTTTCCAAAATTGTGTAGGTGGCTCGAAATAATCGATAAAACACATTGAGAAAATGGTAAGCGATAAAGGGTTAGTATTTTTTTTTAACCTGCCCCCTTTGATCATTGCTAAATATCTATATTTTTAAAAAGAAGAAATACTCTAGCAATCGCTTGTGGCTTCTCTGATCATTTAATTGCCAAAAGTATACATACTAACGTGTCAACATGCTGGTACAATTACAGAAACATAACCCCTTTGGAGACCTTCCCAATTTAAACGCAGCTTGCTGTCTCGATCTGAAAATAAGTATATTTCTGTCCCATTTTTATGATATTGTTTCAAAGAGGATTTATTTTTCCTTTGAATAGTCTTTTTGTCTACGGATGAAGAGTTGGGACATTTGATCTTTTTACAGTCTGGTATCCTATGGACCATGGATTATAAGCCATATTTTATTTTTTAAATGAGATTTATTTAGTTAACATCAGAACACATGCAATCATTGTGTTCTGCCATTATATCTCAACTCTGCCTGCCTGAACCTGCTTCTCAGGCAGAAGTGTGCTCTGAGGTCTGTGCCTTTTCTCAGTCTGTCACCCTCTTGTATGTTTGCTTAAAAAAAAAAAAAAAAAAAAAGAGGCAAATTGAAATGGCTATATGTGAGGCTGGCCTTAACAGCATCTTACATGAGCCTCTCAATAACATCTAAAAATTAGAAGCAACTTTCACACAATACCAATAGATGATGTTGTGTCAGGGTAATTTGTAGAGCAACAATGGCATGTTTTTGTGTAAGTTTTTCTCAATTCTGTTAGCCATTTGGCCTACTTAAGGTTATCCTTAGGCACAAAATAAATTGGGGTAGATTATTTAAATATGACCAAAAAAAAAAAAAAGAGAGAAAACGGTGGATGAGTAAGATTTATTCTTTCTTTCCCTCCCATCTGTTTTACTTACAGAAAGCTACATAACTTCTAAATGGTACTTACATTTTAATAAAGTCTCTTGATCCTGTAATGTACATTTGCCTTTTGATGACACAAATGTCTTTGGAATTAAATGAAGAACAATTTTCAGAATCCAAATATTCAAAATTTGAAAAGTCTGATAATTTTGTTATATTTATGTTGAAGTATTTTAATAATAATGAATATTTGGCTGAATCACTCTATAAACTAACTTTCATCGTACTGGATACATTAATCCTCTTGCATGTCTTTTGGCTTTTGCTCCTTTTAACTTCTAAATTCCTCCTTTTAGGGCTATATCAGTGTAAGTGAAATTAGTGAGCTGTATGGCAATTCCACGAATATATCCCCTTCCACTCAGCCCCCCACAGATGCTGAAGCAGTTGCCACTGAGCCTTCCACGGCTGTGCTGACGAGCCAGCCACAAAATAAAGAGGTTTGTTTGAGAGACGTTTCCCTTTGTTTGCATTGTTCTTTCGTCGCTGCCTTTTCTGCCTTATTTTTTTGTTTTGTTTTGTTCTGTAACTCAGAATGTAGTAAATTGACCCTAAGGCACATGGCCATCTGCCAGTTAATGAGTCAGGTAATGGTTTAATAGTAAAGCTGAAGGAACGCTCCAGCTGTGAAGTGTCTTTGATGTTGGAGATGGGACTCTGAAGGCCAAAAGAACTGAATGATTATGACCCGAGCAGCAATAAGTGACATCTTTGCCTGTCAGACACTAAAATGTAATGCTCTCTTGGAGAAATGGTCTGTGGACACATTTAATGATTATTTGTTTGATGGCTCTTAGGTGTTCGTTTTGTATGTTTTATAGCTTTTTTTCTATGGGCTGATAGAAGATGTATATCTTGAATATCTGGGGGAGATCAGTAGCTTCTACTTGCCTTAGTTATTCCATGAAATCTGTCCAGTCTGTGCCTTCTAGCTTTTTCTTTCTTTCTCTTTCTCATTCTTTGTGACATTTTTGTCTTTGTAGCAAGCATAAGTAATTTTTAATAAACCCATTTTTAAGGGAATGGAATACCTTTATGAATGCAAACGCACAGACCTTTGTGTTGTGATAGGGCAGCAGCTGGTTTAGGATTTGGCCTTTCTGTGCTGTTTCTGATAGTAACATATGCTTGAAGAGTTCCAGTACAATCACTCTCCTCACTCTCCTTTCCTGTTAAATGGTCTAATAAACATAGCGCTGAGACTGCAGCTTGTATGTGCCATACCTTTTGAGCAATTCCAAAAGGAAAACTCTGTGTGTAATTTCTCTTTTTTCTATAAAGCTAAGATCACCTCTCTGTTCTGGATTTGTGTTTCCTCACTCTCTTTCTCCTCGCTCTATTGCTCAACTTCCATCAGTCCATTGGCCTGAGGTCATGGCTACTCATGTAGATCCTATTCCTTTATCTGATACACCTCCTCCTCTGCCAGCTAAGAAACACCGCAGGCAACCACAGGTAACAGATGAAAAGCTGATAACTTGGGATGGGTTTTTTGTTATGGTGGCCATGAAGTTCATTTACATGTGAAGTTTTCAGGGTGGTATTATAAAGTTGATAAGTTGATCTTGCTTGCAGAGTGCTACACTTAAAAGCATTGCTCATGTAAACATGTATATATATAAAATATTTACAGCATGTTATTTAATAAATATACTCCTTATAATATATGAATAATCCAGAGACAAATGCTAATACTTAAGAGCCATTGTAACTATCAGAAGACTTTAAGCAGTAAAGTACAAGTGGCCACATTTGAAGTCCTAAATTACTTTTTTTTCCTTTTATATTTGAACAGAGCCTCTCAAAAGCCATACTTGTTTAAAGCCACCAATTCTTCAGAATAACCTGTGAAGAAGCATGTTTTTTTTTTCTGTAATTGGATTCCAGTTGTGAGCTAGACTTGAGCTTTTTTAAAAAGTAATTAGGTACAAGGACATGCACGCAAAATACGCACGTGTGTTTAATGAATTTCCTCAATCAGCATGCGTTATAATGTGAGATTTGTAGAAATTCTGGATAACACTGTGATGCAGGAGATCCTATGTATTTTAAATATCACTCTTCCCAGTGAAGGCTCTTCCCTTCTTAGGCTCTTTGCCTTCAGCATATTCCATATAGAGCACAAATGAGCAAGCAGGTCAATTCATTTTGTCAAAACTGTTTAACAAATTACGCTTTAAGCATTTCAGAAATCTGGAAGAACGAAAGAAACAGCACAGGGAATGCATGTATATGAGCGATACTTTACCTCGCAAGAAAACGACTCCGTCTGTATCACCGCACTTCAACAGCGCTACTCTTGGACGAAGCGTTACATCTAAAGTAAGTAGTTGCCTGCAATTGGTAGCTTTCCAATTTCTGTATGAAAAACTATATTACATTAGAGCACTCTAAGCATTATGTAGTCTTCCACATTTATATCTGCAGTTGAGTTTGAAAGAAATTCAGATTTGTTGACATACAGAAACATGCATAAGGTCTTCCATACTTCCATACTGACCTATAGAAATGCTGCACTGTAATAATAACCATGCATTTATGATTAATGTAGCTGAAGGATTGTATTTCCGGATTAGTTTAACTTGATTCTAGACACTCAGCAGATTGTTTTCCTTTCCTCCTGTGGTCTCTAATCAGTAAAGAAAGGTTGTGTATAAACAGAAAATAGTCTTTACTTGTGATAAGGTAAATCAACAAATAACAGCAAGGTGGAGAAATTACTTTGAAAACACTTTGGTCAAATGGAGACTGCACAACCAAAACATCCATGGCTGATCATGACATTCATGATTCATGACAAAGCAAGTTATTCTGCCATTAGTTGCTGGTGCAGAAAAGTCTAAAAGTGTAGTTTTAACCATGTATTTACAAAACCTGCTGCAGGGACATTTACCACTAGGACAGAGCAACAGTTGTGGTAGCGTACTTCCTCACTGCCTGGCGACGATAACCAAAGAGTCGGAATCAAGAAGGATGCACAAAGGTAAGACCTCTTTATTTGATGCATTTCTGTTAAAAGTCAATGCTCAGTTTTTTGAAGAATAAATCCAAAACTAGTGCATCTACATGCAACAGGGCTGTAAAATAGTAGTTTTCCCTGTTGGTAAAAAGGCAAGTTCTACATTCCGTTTGCAGGTAACAGCAAAATAAGAGGTTAAGATTATGACAGAGGTGCATGTGTAGATTTGAAGTACATGGTCATCAAATATACTCCAGTAGACAAAAAAAAGTATATTCTAAAATACACACTGGGTAAAGTGGGTAATTCCTGTGAGGAATTCTGAGGCATTATGTTCAAGATACTACATGTTGCTTTCATTTTCCATTTTGCTTTTTTGAATTATTCTTTTCATGTCATGATCTTAAAAATTGTTTTTCACAGGCAGGTATTTTTGTCTGGAAAAAGTAATTCCCCAGATTCTGATTCGATACCATGACTTATCTGTGAGAATATATGACTGCGTTATTATGATCTCTCATAAATATGGGGGCTGCAAAATAGGAAAGGAGAAATGGTTCATTATGGATGGGTAGCTGCATTTTTGTAATAGGGACATGACAATTCTGGATCCAAAAGAAAATTACATCTTTGAAACGTGATTTGATAAGGTATGAGATTCTGCCTTTTGCTTGTCAGCTGGAGTTGATGCACTTAATTTCTGCTTTAAGGAAATTCATTACTCCTCAGTTCCAAGTGTCAGTTTCTTTTCTTTCCGACATCTGCATCATTATTATAAAAATTAGTGCAACGAGACCTTATGTAGAATTGTACTGACTAAGCTTGAGCCAAGACAGGATCCATCCTGTCCTAATAGGACTTGTCAGAGCTAACAGATGTTTAAAAGTCAAAGAACGCGATTGAAGTCAGTCATTTGTACCACGATGATTCAATACACGGATGGAGCAGATTTGCTGTGAAAGAATGATGATTTATTACATTTCACGTTATAGAGCTGATCCAGTTGTGTTTTGTTCTTTTTGAGCTTTAGTCACGCAGCAAGCCGTCCACAAACCTACGATGTTGTGGCCAACTTTTATCTTGAAGTATTTCAAATACAATACAAAAAGCTTCATACTCAGCTTGGAAAGCTTCTTTGTTGTAATGCATTTTGCATGGGTGGAATAGCTTGCAAGTGCATTCAAACACATCATTATGCTGCTCTGCAGAAAATACTTTATTTCCATTTGAAAATCGGTAAGAGATAATTTGGCTAAAATTTGATGACAAGAGATCGTGTGTCTTTAAAACTGGAAAGATTTCTGTAAAATGATTGTGGAAGGCCATTAGAGTGCATGACCAGAAACACAACTGCAAAGTGTTATCGACCCTAATATAGGTGAAGATAGTTAATACTTTTTAAAATAAATTGACCGGTTTTTATTTTGAATTTTTTGTCAGCCTGCAACTAAGAAAATGCTAAGAGCTTAGGCAGATTGCTGGTCTTGAGAGTGAAGAAGAAAGAAAGGCCCCAAACCAAAACTATATGATGGATTGACAAAGAAGAGAGGCAGAGAAGAGTGAAAGAGATGTATTAGTTAAGGCACTTGACATCCTACTTGTACGCCATAAGGAATAATGTGTGCTCTACTGCCTGCTGTACTAGCAGATAATTATTCCTTTGAAAGATCCGACAGTTTGAATGGAAATACTAAATTATGAAGAGAGGCTTTGATTAATTCATAGCAGGAAAGCGGAAGGTTCTAGATGGCCTGCTTTGAAACATCAGCTTTGTGAAAGGGAAATCATGCTGCTGTCAGGTGCTTTCCCTGAACTCTCACAGGATTTAGAAAGTAAGGGACACAATCAAAACACGAAGGATGTAGGAATACAGAGATTCTCTGTGCTTTGATCACCTCTCTTAGTAATTAGCGACGGGTTTATTACCTTTGTGCTCAACAGAGAGCTCCCTGATTTCGTTTCTGTTGGAGGAACTTGAAGAGTTCAGCTGCTTTTTCTCTTGGTCTTAAATACTGTATTTCTAGATTGAGGAAAAAGCTTTTGTCTCGGTGACATATCACAAAATTTTTTGCACAATTCTTTCTACAGGTAATTGGTATCCCTTTATAGGGCAGAAAGATGTAAATGTCCAATTCAGATGGGCAGATCACAGAGTATTTCTACCCAGCTGTATAAAAGAGGGCCAGGGTGTGCTCATCCATGCAGTGTAATTGTTAGCTTCCCCCTAAACTGCTTTGCATTGCTCCAGCTAGCTACGCAGGTAGGTGGGAGTCAGCACAGGCTACGTGGCCTCAGGCTTACGAAGCAATCCTAGGGCCCTTTCGTTCAGCCTTGCGGATGTAGCCTTGGAGTCTCTAATGAACGTCGTGGTACGAACAGGGAGGGATAACAGTTCCAATTTGATGTGATTTGTTTTTGACCTAGGACCTTAGGCCCACCCACACTTGGAATGCTGAGAAAAACCAAGCTTTTCTTCCTAAGTATGAATAAAGAATGTATGTTTCTGTGGAATAGTGGAATTTGGAAAGCGTTTTTAACATGGCCCATTTATTTAAACGTACTACACAGCATAAGTGAAATAGAATGTTATATGTCAATTCAAATTCTGCAATTTTTTGTGGCTTCCACTAAAATTAGTGAGATCTGAGTCTGTGGAACTAAGGCAATCGTCAAAACAGACAAAAAAGGTCTAATTACATGGGATTTGTCTTAGTTTTCAATGATGCACATAAAGATGTCTGGTGAAATCAGCCTATCACCTGCATTCCAACTTAATTTGGGACTCTATAATAAATATATTTATTATAAAATAAATACACTGTATTTCTTACAAAAAAACATTCTTGAGGTAGAACAGATTAGCCTTTTTGGACTAAGTGAATATTTTGGATGAGTAAGATTTTTCTACCAAATCAGCAGAACTCTGCATGTTTAATAGAAGCTGCTTAGACTGAGTGAATATGTGCCTGCTTCTCTTCCCTCCCTGAAATAGCTAATGAGTAGATTAAAAGTGATCTTAGTGTGTCATGTGTACTGAAGCACTGCTTGCTGTTCTTGCTTTCTTTCCCCACTTGACAAGTTTTCACTCCATCGGTTTTCTGTGCTCAAGGTGGGGTATTGCAAACGACGTGGGCGTCTCGGGTTACTGCTTCCTTAGGCATGCACCGTTGCACTGAAGGCACTGGAGCTGGGCACGCTCAGCTCAATGGAGCATCATCGTCTCACATGACAAATGCCATTTTATCTGTTCCATTTGGAGCACTGGCCGCAATGCAGTGTCACGTGAACTGTGATACAAAGAGGATGATATACTTTGCTCCACAGAGAGGCTCCTGAAGTGGTATTAGTGGTTCACTGTACTGCTTAGGGCTTAAAAGCATTTGAGCAAATACCTAAGCCAGATGGTTCTGTGCGTTTGTATAAATCTGAAGAAAGTTTATTCAACAGTACCTAGAGAAAGTGGCACTCAGCTAGGTTTTAAGATATTATCTGAGAATTACAAAGTTATCAGTGTTATAAAGTGAGTTTTCTGTAATGGCTCTCTCCAGTTTTTCTTATTTCAGTCCAAGAAGGTAAGTGTAAAAACCTGAGATGAAAAATTCAAAGTTAAAAATGAAGTCAGGGAAAAGAAGAGCAACCGCTTCAGTTTGAACATATTGAACATGTTCCTGCACAAAGTCAAAGATATTAAAGTAGAAGTAATGTCTATGAATAAATTTTTAGGCCAGATCCAGTGGAGATCCAGTACGAAACATTTTCATAAATTTGCTAATACTAAACATTCTTTCTTGCAGGATTACCAAAAGTGTGTTTAGTCAGCCTTGTGAATTGGAAAAATGTTCCTTGAAAGAAACAAATTGTCGCTCTCGATAATCATTGCCTGAGTTATGGGCAACTTATCGATTGTTTAAGAGCCCACATCTTTGGTATAAATCATCAGTGGAAAAAATCATTTCTTAGCTGCCATTCGTGAGCTATTTCTGAAGGACTGTATGTGTATGTTCAGCTTTTGTGTACACACATTTGTAAGCAAACTGCATGCAAAAAAATAAAATGAAAAAACTGTTATTTGCTATAATCTGGAGACTCTGCACGGGTGGAAACTTGGGCCCGTGGAGTTGGCGTGGGACGCTGGGAACCAGAAGCCCATGCACGTGCAGATAGGAGCGAGGGCTCCTTGGGCTGTCTAGTCCCATACACTGTGGGCTGCTCTCCCAGAGGAAAGGGGAAATGGTTGCTTGGGAGTTAAAACACGAGACCAGGCACAACACTGGGAAGAACACTGTTTGGACAGAGATGTTGCATACCAGCAAGATGTTTATTTGTAATATTTCTAAGCAGAGCTTTACAAGTTCTGCTGAAAAGCAATATGCTGAGGGAGGCATGTATATTTAAAGACAAATTATAAGCTTTTCAATATGGTTTGTTTTTTGTTCTTCCTCTTATCAAACTCAGGAAAAGCCAAAAAAGGTATGAAAACGTCCCTTTACCTGGCTGTCTCCATCACTGTCACGTTTTGGCAAAAGTACTGATCGCATCAGCACTGTCAAGTAGTTCCCAAAATCTGGGAAAAATTTAAAATACTTGTTAAATAATGATAGCACTTCACAAATTCTTTTTTTTTTTTCATGCTGTCAAATAACCTGTCACAACAAAACTTCTGATTAATGCTAATGTCTGCAGAGCTACAGTTTTGTGTAGGCCTAATCTTTTGCTGCTTTGCTCGTAGCCAAACAAGTAGAGCAGAAAACTTAGAAATAAATCTTTGTAGATCTGTGGGTGACAATGACAAGGCAGACTTGGGCTTCCTCCTGTGGCATATTTCAATACAAAAAAATACATTTTGACATTTTAATATCTATATTTAAAAGAAGAAAAGAGAATGGAAAGAAAAGATAATGTTGTACCAAGATCTTTTTTTAATAAATAACTGCTTTTAACATACTTGACAGTGCCACCTTTAACAACAGCTTTCACTTATAGTTCTGACCTCACTATTATTTTGTGGTGTCATATTTGTTTTTTGTGATTCTGCAACAACTCTTGGATTTTTTTTTTCTTTTTAATGACCTGGCCTTATGGATATTTATAATATTTTGCTGAACAGTATGGCTGTTAACAGTACTTAACTTTGTCATTCTACTAAGAGAATACAAACCAATGCAACAAAAAACACTATTTTAGCTCTTTAGCAGCTTGCACTTACATTTTTGGCTTCTGGAAAACTTTTAGTGAAGTACAAGATCTTACTAGGAGTTTAATATTTCTAAGTGCATGTTCCGTGAATATGCACCTGAGCTTCTTTAACCGTTAGACTGTGCTTGTGTGGTGTGTAAGCCAGTCTGTAATGGAAGTAGGCTGCCTATGAGTTTTTTTTTTTCGAGTCGCTATACAGCTGATCCTGATCTTTGAACTGTGTGTTCACAGGCCTGAGGAGCGTAAGAGAACATCACGTTATACTTTGTTTCTGTGAATGCATGTCATTCTGTGACTTAACTACTGTATTATATAGACAGAGGCATGTCTTGAAATGTAGTTACATTTGCACGATTACATAAATTTAACTGACAAATTTTTGACTGAAATAATGGATTCTTTATCATCATGGAAAGTTGTCCATGTCACGAAAGCGTTCATATTTGTAAAACTGGTATGTTTTGCTGTTCCTTTCAGATGTTTTTTTTCTTTGAAATATAAGGTATGAAATTAAGATTTCTAAGGAGTCTAGATTTTTGCAAAGGGCTCAACAGACAAACATTCGTTTGAATACAATTTCTTTCACTAATTTATTTTTCCTATTTTTGCATAATGAATAATTGATAACCATTTTTACAGGAGCAATTAGCCATTCCAAAGGTTCGAGTATGAAAGGTAATTGCATATCTGCAATAAAAGCAGCATTTGCCATAATAATGGAGAAAAAACAAATTGCACATGTAAATCAGTAACATCTGCGTTGTGATGCTATTATCTAAAAATGCTGAAGTGTATTCGTGTCCCTTTTGTCTCTTCTACTAATCAGTGCAATTGAACTTTTATTGAAATTTTTAACGTTCTCTCAAATGGCAAGTACAATTCTATTAGTTTCTTGGAAACCGGCTGTAATAGTCTGTGAGAAGCCTTTGTGTTGTACGGAGAGACATGGAATGGAGGGAAGAGGAAACAATTTTTCTGTCTTAGAGATGCGTGTAGAGCATGATTTCCACAATAATATGCTTTAATGATTCAGTCTGAGTCATGCTCTTCAGATACCTTTGGAGAATATTATAGCCTTTCTAAGGTAGAGCTGCAGTTGTTGGCTCCCTAAAATGGAATTATCCTGACTCTTATGTCAGAGAATAAATCACACAGTAACGTTATATGTGCAGATAGAGAATGAGAATAAGGCAGGAAAATATTCCCAATTCATGCAAGGTTTTCTAGCGTTACCTTAATGGTGTCTGGTAAAAAAATTTTTATGAGGACTTTGCGGACATTTTTCCTATATTTGTTTGTTTGCTTTATCTGGAATGTCAGTGACGTGTTTCCTCTATGAATGGGAGATTTTCATTTTGTCTAACAGTCATTCTTAATCTCCAGTTCTGCCACCAGCTCACTTTTTCAGTTAGGATTGTGCACAGAGTACTGTAAACCTACTGGAGTATCAAAGCTGTGAGAAAAAGTCATTCCTTGCATCGATTCAAGGAAAGGATGATCAGTGAAGCTATTTTTCTCATCAAATACATCAAACAAACCTTAAAGGGCACTGTAAAATCTCTTCAGCAGTTTAAATGACGATTGTCGTTTTGTGCAAGAACCTCTGTAAGTCTGTATAAATGCTGCTGCTTTATATACAAAGAGCAGTGGAGACATTAGATTAAAAATATTTCTTCAGAATTATTTTTGAAGGAGACGTAGTCAAACAATATTCCTGTATTCAAGGATGGCTTCTAAAATACGTAATTCCAAATCAGCTGTGTGATGCAGTTGAAACTTAACCTGACTTCTTGTCTGAAATAAATGTACTGGTGTACAAGGTACGCTTACAAATTAGGGACCTAGATTTCTAGTCGTGTGACTGTTATTAAATGCCTTGATTTTGTAGAAAAATAAAAAAAAACAGAAAACTTAATGCATAAACCTTATTTTTCATTATAGTCATTGAGCTACAGAGATCTCTTTCAACCATGTAGGGTGAACTGTGGTTTTAAAACTCTAGGAAAGTACCTCTGCAGTGGTAACTATGATAATGTGAAAAGTAGCCTATTTATTTCAGCTGAAACTAAAAGCCCAACCTGCAGTTACCCAAAGGCAAAATTCCCCAAAAAGACAAACAATAATCTGCATTCGCTAAAGCCAACCAAACAAGTACTCAATCCCTTTGAATACCAGGATAATTTTTTTCTATTTAATCAGCAATAATTGTTTTAGCTCCCTGATCTACTTTTGGGATTTGGCCTAATGTATGCGTATTAAATTTACATAACTCACGTACAAGAATGTATATTGAAAAGCCAACCATAGTAGTCTGCACATATTGTGCAGAAAAATAAAACGAGTATTTATAAGTTTTATTTCAATTATGATTTTTTTAATGAAACTTACTGTAATATCATCGTAACTGGGTCACAGTGTAGTTAAAACTGAGCTGGTATTCCAAATGCTTGCACTGCTAACACTGTATGTTCGGGTCACAGAATTTCCTGTGAAAAATAAATGTTTCCTCTGTACTCCGTAGGGTATAACCATCAACGTATATGCGAAGAACACAGGCAGAAATCTCCTGAATTCTACAGCAGAACTGCATCTGAATCTAACGTGTATTTGAATAGTTTCCATTACCCAGATCGGAGTTACAAGGACCATGCCTTTGATACATTAAGCTTAGACAGTTCTGACAGTATGGAGACAAGCATATCGGCGTGCTCACCAGATAACATTTCCAGGTAAAAAAATTTTCATTTTTGACATGGTATAAAGGTCATAGGCTTATAATATAAAAAAAGAGAATATGTAAATATTGATGCTACGGTAATGTGAATTCTGCTAACAGGTTAAGGAAACCTAAGATTATTAGGTGGGCATAATGTTTACATTTGTGTAGCCCTTCATCAAATTTAACTGTCATCTCATCTGTTTATTTAAAGATGGAAAATATAAGTATGGAGAGGCTAAGTTACCCATTCAGGGCTACATAGAAATCAGTGACAGTCCTGAACTGAAATTAGGAAGTCATTGATGCTCTTTTCAGACTGGAATAATGGCTGAACTTCCTTCTCTGGCCACTACAGACTTCCTGTGATAGGAAACTTCTGAAAGCCGTCTGCCAGCGATGAACTACGCTTTTTAGGCATGTCCAACATGTTAACGTGTAACTTAGGCTGAAACACTTTGGAGTCCTCTAGGTAATCTTTTCTACCATTTCCTCTCCCTTTTGTGGATCAGTAAAAACAGAGAGATAATAACGAAAAGGCTTAGAGCCCTAGGCTGTCTCTCTCTGATCCTAGGTGACTGTCAGCTCAGGCACTAGTTACAAGAACATCTTCCATTTATGTAAAAAGAAAAGTCCAGCCAAGTCTCAAAATTGTGAGCAGACAAGTTTTCTTTCTAACAGTCTGGGTTTAATGATAGCGCTTTCATTTCTGCTCACGGTCCTGCCCCAGTAGTTTCACAAGTGTAAGTGGGGGCTGCGAACTAAATACAGCATGGTCACAGGATTCAAAATCTCTTGTGAACACCAGGATAGCTTTCTGGCTAACGTGTCTTATTCAGCATCCGTTTCCTGTAAAAGGGTATCCACCCACTAGTTTCCTCTTGTAGCCCTTAACTCTGCAATGTTAAGGGTCTTAGAAAGTATCAATGAAATTGATTCTGCTGATTATTTTTAAGTAGAAAAACTAGGACTCAGGCTCTGAGGATTTTCTTTTTAAATAGATACACAGTTGGCTAGTTTCTGATAGCCTGACACAGGTTGGGAATTACACTCTTATCTCGGCAGTAATCGAGTAGGGCAGTGGTATCAAATCTTACCACTCTGACCATTTTGGAGGAAGATAGCATGTGCTTGAACTATCCGGGGGCCATCTTATAAATGGAATCTTCCACCTAGGATCTGAGAGCCCTGTCTGCTGGTACGTTTCACTGGCGTTGTTTGCTCGTCTGTCTCCCTCTGGCTTTTCTGCAGGTTCTAGCCATCATGGTTAATAAAAATAAAAAATAAAAAAAAAAAAAAGAGAGCGAGAGAGAAAAGGACCCAACACAACAGATGTATCAGTTTCTCAGAAGGCAGAGTTAGGTGAGGGAAGAAAAAAGAGCATCGGCTGAAACTATTGATAATTCTTGGAAGACAGGCAGTTCATTTTCCTTCTTTGATAAAGATTCCCTTACTCGAAATGAATTCAGATTGTTTTAGATGGTGTTTGAGAATCCTTTCTAGCCATATCAGACTTCAGTTGAAAAAAACCTATGTTGCTTTGTTCTGACATATTTAAAATATGTTAGGCTCATTTTGCCTTGTATAAGGTAAGGCCTTTTGGTGGAAATACATAAAATTATCTGTGCTCGAAGTACAGGAGAAATAAAACTGTTCTTGTGATGCAGTTCATTAACTCAACAAAATAAATGATTCTATATTTGGTTAGCAACTTTTTCCTGACTGATGTTTCGGAGATTATGATTTTCTGCTATGCATTAATTTCTGCAAATTGCTGCAAGGACAAGCAAATTGGGACTGAAAGGATTTAATTAAGCTGATAAATTACCAAAGTTGAGGATGAGGTATCGACCAGTTTTATATGGGAAAACCTACTACAGTTAAAATATTTTCCAAGTTGTTCATGCATCTTGTACTTTATTTTAGCTTACGGCCTCGTTCCTTTTACTAAAGTTATCTGACTCAGATTCTCTAGGCCTCTCAACAAGACGTACTTAGGCCCAATTTTAAGTTTAGGCATCTAAGTCAGTGGCCTGATTTTGTGGGTTTTGTTCAGAGACAACGAGCGTCTACAGCTTTGATAGATTTCAGCCGGATTTTGCCTGCTCTGCCGGCTTGGGTTAAGTCAGGTATGCTGTTTCGTGTTATACTGTATCCTCTCATGAAACATCTCCCCAGTATCAGGCAGAGAACTGTGTTCTGGAGACTGTCACACAGTAAGAGCATTCTCCTAGCAGTCTGCTGCTGACAAAAAATCTTGGTCTTACAAGAAATAGCCAACAGAAGCATGCTCAGAAAGCTAAGGATGTTGATCTTGTAGTGTTTTTTTTTTTTTTCTTGCCTATGACACATAGTGGGAGTACTTCCACTCTACGTTAATCCCTTCACAGCTGGTCTGTCTGCTATTGAGAAGCATGAATAAATCTGCTATTTGACACCTACGTCCATTGGAGTGGTCAATTAGCTTTCAGTAAAATCCTGGGTCAAGTTTCTCTCTCTGCCCTAAACGGTTGACCCCATTCCATTTCATAACACTGTACTTTAGTCTAATGACATAGGTAATGGTAACGTAGCTAATATTTAACATAAACTGTTCTTAATGAATACTATAAGATTAAAAATAAAATAGAGAGCATGTCATGAATATACCATAGTTGAAATGACTGTTAAATTGAGACGAAACAAATTCTGTTGGAGGAAACACGCATAGTATTGCTTGTTGGTGCCTATAAGACACCAGATATTGCCCTTTGCAAGGGAAAGTAAGCATTTTGCCAGAGCTTTTGAAGAACTAGAGTGTTAGCAGAGTATCTTAGAGGACGCTTCCTCTCCCAAATACATATATTGTTATGAAATTAGGGATGAGATGGAAGCACCTTCTTAGAACATACAAACAGTGACTTTCATATTATGGAATGCATATCTGCTGAGGCACATGGATATGTACTCAACAGATTAAATTTCCAGTGGATCATATGAAACAGAAAACTGACTTTTTCATGATGGGCCTGTCTGGATTATTAATTACAAGAGCGTTGCCTCAACAAGGGCAAATAATCCTTACAGACTAGGATGCCTATCCTAGAAGCAAAACATCACTATGAATCAAAGAGCACAAAGGATGTTCTCCACATCAGATATCTGTAGTACTTTGAGGCATTTATAATTTCACTTAAAGGAACAAGTACCCATTACATTAAGTTGGAACACTGTACCACAGTAGGCGTAGTAAATCAACGACGTGAGTAATAGGCCAGAAATGTGGAAAGTTTGTGTACAAAACCAGTGTGGTGACTTGACGGCCTACTGTGACTAGAGACACTCTATAAACTGCTTTACCATTTGTACATGTTAGGCTCCCCCTCTCCATTCCCCCACCATCTGAAAGATATACTAATCATTGCAGAGCTTTTGAGTCCAAGATACAGAAGTGATGCCACCTCCAATAAGAAACTGGAAGTGAAATGTCATCCAGATACCTTTCCATTGCAAAGAATGAGCCAAAAAAACTGACAGACAAAGCAACAACTGTGTTGCAGTAGGCCAGGATCTAGCACTCTTTGTGATTACCTTTGTTACCTTGGCTTGTTGGGTACTTTAACTGGTAGATCCTTTCTGACACTGCTCTGCCACTGAGTGCCTTTTATGGATGTTTCCTAATACTCCTTTTTTTTTTTTTTATCTAGCATTTCCTGATGTTGACCTCAGTGAGACACCAAACAGACAGCCCATAGCCAGAAAGACTTAAAAAGTATATTTAGATGATGACTAATGCCAGCCCTGAGAATCAGTAGTGTGTCCCGTTAGGTCATGGTAACTGTCTCCATCCATATTTTGTTGTCTGAGAGAAGATGACAGATCACGGGGGACTGACAAACACTTTTAGGCACTCGAGTCTGCATTTTTCACAACTCTACATGGACAACATGTTAATTGAGAGAGTATTGTGTACTTTATACGTTATTTGTAATTAGTGCCTGCTGCACTTAATTGGATCAGAACTATGTAGATTCAATTCTTAACAAATGTTGGAATGTAAAATAGGGCTTTAAACACCAAGTATTGTTTAAAATAACTCTGACTTTTTTGTGTGCGCGCAGTGCAAGCACTTCAAATGTTGCAAGAATAGAAGAGATGGAGAGACTTTTGAAACAAGCACATGCTGAAAAGACCAGGCTGCTTGAGACCAGGGTAAACAAATAATTTTATGATTAAAACTAAGAGTTGGCATGTTGGGTAGATAATACTCTCCTAAATTAATCATTGGGCCTTATATAGTTAGTGCGTAACAGAGCCTTAAAAAATTACCTCTCTCCCTTCAGTTTGCTCTGGCTCACTCTCATACTGCATCTTTGAGCCCATGTGCGATAGCTGCTGTCGCGATGGGTGAGTTCAGGGCAAATTCCTGTTAGAAGCTAATCAGTATTGATCCTACACCTGCTAGGAGAGTTGCTTATGAAGAACTGGCATTTCTAGAATAGTAATAATTCCAATTCTGATTCCATTTCTCGGTCTACTTTGCTGGATATGTATTTCTACCTACCTGAAAGGCAAGAAGGGATTTAGTCCTAGCTAGGACGTTATCAGCTATAATTTCACATAAAACTGAAGTTCTGCATGTGTTGTGGTATTTAGGAACGGGAGATGGAAGCTAAAAAACGAGCTCTGGAAGAAGAGAAACGACGCAGAGAGCAACTGGAGAAAAGACTGGAAGAAGAAACCAGCCAGAGGCAAAAATTAATTGAAAAGGAAGTTAAGATACGTGAGAAACAAAGAGCACAGGTGAGATACATTGACATGAAATTGTTTTAGTGCAAGAATTACCCCTTGACACAGAAACAGGAGTGAGTGTATTTCTGCCAATGGTAAGCTGAGCTACTTCCAGTTGAATAGACTGCCTTAGTATTTCCGAGTTGCAGCTGTGCTGCTAAAAGTATGTTTGGGCTCTTGGAGCCCTAGACAGAAATCCCTATATTCATTTAAATCTACATAATAACATAGACATCTATTTACCATCCTCTATCTAAAGTATAAATATTAATCTTACAAGGCTTGTTATTGAGTATGGGTAGGACAGTATTTTAATCTGAACAACAGAAATTTGTGAGCGTGTTAGTCTTACAAACCTCTTATAAACCTCTTTTTTTTTTTTTTAAATACATAAGATATTTTGGAATGTGAATTGTCATTTCCAAAATATTTGACTGGGCGGGGAAAAACAAACAAACAAACAAAAAACAGAAGAAGTTTTTCTAACCTCTACATCTACTCTAGGGAGAGAATAGTATTTTTCCCACTGCTATTGGGAGTATACAACAGGGGAAACATAACTGAGTAAAATCGGTATTACCTGTTACATCTTCTGTGCTTCTTTAGGATTCAGAGGTGTCTTGAGCTCTCTTCACATTTAGATGTCTTACCTATGTGTTTATTCCACTGTCATTAATGAGATTTTCTATGTGGTACAGCAAACGGATTAGGCAGTCATTTTATTAGTAGTATGATATAGCAAGACGATGTCTCCATCTTAATATTTGTATAAGGGTGCAGAAGTTTCCAAATAAGAATGAGTACATCTCTGCTATTATCTGTGTTATCTTAGCTAAAACTTTGTTTTCCGTGTTACTTTAATATTTCCTATCAATATTTCTACATAACTGGCCTTTTTACTTGCTGAAACTAAATTAGAATAATAGGACTGTCACAGATGAATTTTAAGTTGTTTCTGGTTAAGTACATTCAATCCTTTGTTTTTGTATAAAATGTAATTACCAAATTTTAAATTTTATGTACAGTTTAGTTAAATGCCGTCTTTTTTTCTTTGTTAAGAACTTTTAATGACAACCCAGGTGTGCTGTAAACAATGATGCCATGCTTGTATTCTCATCCCAAACTGGAATGCGTATGTGTTTTAATAAAATGTCTTATCAGTGCTAATTGGCAGATTTAGCAGAGAGACTGAAGGCTGAATTGGCAGGAAGAAGAAACTCATCCTCCAGAATGAACTATGCTTTTTTATTATTACTTTTTCTTTCCTTTGTGCAGTAAGACCTAGTTTCAAGATTATAATGTTTTTTTTCTTTTCAGTACTTCCTGACGTTTAGAAATGTAAACTAGGGGAAGGAATGCCATCTTTGCACATGCCATAGCTAGTTCCAGCTTGTATAGTACAGGACTTTGTAATTTTAGAAGGGTGCTAAAAGTTCTTACAGGCAACACCGCTCCCATTGCATAAGGAGATGCTTGACAATCCAATGAGAGAAAGTCCCTTCAAGTTGTGACTCACAGTGGTATTTAAAGGCTAACTTTAGGCATGGAGCAGGGGCAGATTGAATTCTCCAGGTCAGTGACTTCTCCAAAGTCAGTGTAGAGGGGTAGAGAGAGAGAGAGAGAGAAAGAGAGCTTGATTCCTTTGACAGAGGATTCAGAGCACCTAAACGAGGCTCCTGTTCTGAATCACCCTGTGACATAGCCTCTGTCTGCCTTGACTGCAGCAAGAGCCACCAGAGACTTGTCTCCTGTGTTTAAAATGAGTTTTTCGTGCCAGACCCTTCAGGCACAGAAAACCAGCATACTGCTTCAGCTGGCAAAGGTCCTAAATCACTCTCTGACTTGTTCGCCCAACTTGTCCTATCCAGGCGGGATGCAGGCATAGTCCCGAACACAGTCAAGAACGAGGCACCATTTCCTGTCTGCTTTGCTGTCTCTTACAGAGCGATCCACTTAAGCTCTCTGTACTGTGTTGCTGATTGTCAACTAGAGACCACATTTAATTAGTTTAGAAGAAAGTAATTATATTTTGTTTACAGCAATCTTTGTGAAACTAGCTAGGGAGTACGGTTCACTCTCATTCTTTCTAACATTACTTTTTCCTAGTAAGAGCACGTTTTTGTTATTTTTATTATACTTTGCATTTAAGTAGCTGTAATACTGAAATGTTAATGACCTAGATGCTTACTCATTTTGCTGCACAGAGAGTGAATATCTTGTCCAGAGATGTAAAGGGTTTGTTTAACACAACTCAGTTCCTCTAAAGCAGCCACAGACCTTCCTCTAAAGCAGCCACAGACCTTTCACATTTAATACGTGTTTTAATTCTCAAACAACCTTTCTGTGCTCTGGTCCCTGTTTTACCAGCTTGCCCAATTGATGATTTTGAGATGTTCCCGTGCTCTAATCTCACTTGTATACAAGTATCAAACACGTTGTAAAGATACATGTTTTAAGGATTTTTCTTTTGCAGAAAACTAGGCCTGCAGCACAAAGCACTTTGTTGTCGTTACCTTCATTGTTGGAATCTATGGGCAGTTTACAATTATGTCCTTGCAGCAGAAAGAAGGAGCGCAAGAGGAAAGTTGGCTTTTGTTTAAAAATTTTTTTTTTTCTTTGCTTTCTTGTAGGCTCGTCCCTTGACTCGCTATTTGCCCATTAGAAAAGAAGACTTTGATTTGCGAAGTCACATTGAAACAGCTGGTCACAACATAGAGACCTGCTACCATGTCTCCCTCACAGAGAAGACGTGCCGAGGCTTTCTAATTAAGATGGGAGGGAAAATTAAAACATGGAAGAAACGATGGTTTGTTTTTGACAGAAACAAGAGAACTTTTACTTACTATGCAGGTAGGTTGTTTTCCAGGATCACTGTTAGGCTACATATATCCCTCTGTTTCCCCATCAACCTCACTTGTGCTATGAATATGGAGGAAATCCCAAGTAAAGCTTGAAGTTGCATTTTTTGGGGCATTTTATATATATATTCACAGATGACGCAGTCCCTTCCCTGTAGTAGTTGATAAGACACAAATGAGCATAACTGACAAAAGGAGAGAGTGGACAGGCGAGAGGAAAAAAAGTAAGATCATCGCATTCTTAGTACACAGAATAATGGCTCCACATAAATTATTTTTAAATATTACCTACTTCCCCCAGTGACAGAATGATTTCTGGTTGCCATCATAAAAAAATATAATTTGTGATACTGAAAAAATTAAATGGAATGTTTCTGCAGTCACCTGACTTTATGTGCTGAAAAATCTTTCAGGAAGTTAAACACACAGGAGTAGACTTTAGGAGTTTACCAGATTTTGAAAGAGTTCAGAATGAACAACATGAAATGCTCTGAAGAGGTTTCTGTAGATTAAATTGTCTTAATATCCTATCTGGAGCTATTATAAGCATTATAGTAATTTGTTATATTAAGTCAAAACCAGAATTTTGGAACTTAAAAACTTACACGTCGCACCATTTGTTGTGCAAGCCTACACTGAGTTTGACTTGGAAGTTTTGGAGGAAGCCAAAAAAATTACTTTGTGTTCTGAATTTTTATGAGGTGAGGTCAAACAGGGGCACGTGTGGCATGGTAACTGCTAAGAAGCAGAAAACATCTGGTATAAAAACAAAAAAACCACAATTCAATTTCCTTTTAGGACGTTACTCCTTTTCAGCAAGTCATGAGGAACTTAAAATTCATGGTAGTTATGCATTCTGTCTTTTTTTAAAATATATCATCTGAATTCATTACATATCCACTAAATAATTCTTGGTAGTTTACAATAATACTGTGAAGAATATGACAAACAGAAACATTCTTTTTTATTTTAACAGCTGGCTTATTGTTTAGCAAGGCCTGTAACATACAGTAGTGTTCCCATCTGGTACTGATCTTTTCTGTTTTTTAAGTAGTTATGTTAATAATTTCCAGTTTCAGTTTTGAGTGCAGTACAGTTGCCATAATGCAATTTCAGTTACCAAAGAAAACTTTTCGTAATGTCTCAAGGCCTCCAGCCAACAAACAAAGTTTCATGAGAATTCTGTAACAGCTGAGCAAAAATGCAGCTGTTTGTATAAGTGAGGATCTGTCTAGTCTTCAAATACATAGTAGACTTCCAAAATAAATATAGATGCTGTGAATTCAGAGTAAATGAACACTTAATGAACATATAGGTATATTGTTTTAATTCTGCAAGTGTACTGAGCAAAGAATTTAGCCTGAAGCGTGAAAATTTAGTGTAGCGACCAAAACATCTGTATTTTCTGACCTGAAACACACATGGGACTCCACAAAGACCACTGTGATAGCAGTTTGTGGATACTTGAAATGTTGCTGTAACCAAGACCCAAGCGGGGCTTGAAAGGAGAGTAGATCAGTGCTTGCTTGTACTCTACAGATAGTATACTATGTTGTATAGTATTGTATTTAGTTTACTATAGTGTGTGCTATAATGTAGTAATCTTACACCTCAGAACTACTTCTGGTTTCCTGGGGGCTGGCAGGGAGATTCCCAGCTGTGTATCATTGGGCTTTTGGTATTTTTTTTTTTTTTTTTCCATCATCTGAAGCTTTGGAAATTGATTGCAGCTACTCATAAGATGTAAGCTGAGTTCTTGAGTGTTCAGAATGACCATGGAATCTCTCAGGGGACCGATTTAAGATGTTCTGCTCGACTCTTCAGTGTTAATGGAATAACTGGGGGCCGGAAGGCATTATATCCCCCAAAGACTGGCTAAAAGTACTTGGAAGGAAGTTTGCCCTTTCGTGTCACATGCAGCTTTGACATTTCTTAACACTCTCCAGGATTATTTAACAAATTCTCTTCCATTGCAGGAAAATGGAGGACACTGAAGATGCTTGATCTCTCCTGTTCCTTTTTCTTGTAGCACATTATAGCTGTGATTCTTAAGATGTTAAGTCTGTATCCTTGCTTTTCCATCCACTAGCCAATGCTGGGATAGAAGGCAAGTGGGCTGTAGGCTGGTGGTCTGTAGGCCACAGACTGATTTCTGCTGTGTGTTAAGGCACCATATGTATGTAAAGCTAGACTTTACTTCTTAGCTCCTTCTGCTTTATAGATACAATGTGCAATAATACGTTATTATCTGTATACCTTCTTTCCCAATTGAGTCTGCCAGATGGCAGAAATAAATGCCAAAGAGGGGAGGCCATGTGGAGGCTGTACAGAAAATCAAGGCTCTTAATCTGTGTATTTTTGAAATCTCCTAATAAGAACTACAGATGATGCAAAACCTTTCTTGGATTCTTAGAATCGGTCTTAATATATTACCTCCCCTGAAGGCAGTTATCCAAATAGCTTAGAATTTACACCCCAGCAGTGGCTGCTTCTCTCCATTGACCTTGAAGGGAGACTAAACAACTAGCTCAGCCGTGTCCCCATTGTAGATATCAAAACTTACGTGAGAAGGGTCCCACTCTTTATTTCAGCTTTGCCACATTATCCATTCAGATATTCTTACCTCTGACGCTCTGAAGCAAATGGAAGGTCCCTTTCATAAGAGGGGCAAACTACCGCTAATTAATTTGGCTTTTACCATGGGTGTCACAGAGGAGAAGTATGCAAACAGACGGTTACAATGCTGCAGCTGGTGCACAGAAACTTTTAACCTCCCGTAAACTAGTCCGTGTGTCAAAGCTCGTAGAAGCTTGCCTGCAACCTGTTAATCTCACAGTTGAATAATAAATATTAGCTTGAGACTATAGATTTATTATGAACAGGAAGAAGCATTTCTAAGCAAATAAAAGCACTAATGCTGTTGTAATGTATAGCTTTTACTATCAAATTGTATTTCAAATTTGCTTTTCATAGCAGTTTTCCTTTGAAGGAAAACCATGGGTCTTGCCCGGCTAGCTTTGTTGTAACACTTCAGCAACATGTGAAGTCTGGCTGGTTTAGGATGATGACTGGCCCATCCAGTAGTCCAAACAGTACAGACAGCTGGAGGGAGTCCACGCCGTAAGTGAGATTATGTGGATTTCTCTCTTCTACTTAGCTACCAGTGGAACTGGAAGAACTTAATATCTCACAGACATCTGTGCCTCTGTCTGTGCATCTGTGCATCTGTGCCACTGGACAAAAGGTTCAGATGCTTTAGTTCAGATGCTTTAGACTTACAAATAGATAGGGAAATTGCAAAAGCCTTATTTCCTTGGAAACCAAGCTGAAAAGAAGACAAATTAAATAAAGTAGGACTGTCCTACTGTTAAGAGAGGTTGAAGATTTCTGGGGGATTTCACAAGCAGAAGTGCTAGTCCAGTCATTTATATCTACTGACAAATGTGGAAATGAAAATTACCCTTTTGCTTCTTGTAGTACTGTGTTTATCTCAGTTTTCAAAAGTCATTCTCTTTTCCATTTTAGACAAACACGAAACGAAATTAAAAGGTGTAATATATTTTCAAGCTATTGAAGAAGTCTATTATGATCATCTAAAGAATGCATATAAGGTAATGTTTGTTACTGTTGTTTTAAAACTGAGTATTGTATGGCACCCAAAGTGCAGTAGTAGCCTTTGTAAATACAAAGGGAGAGTTGACAATATAAAAAACCTAACACATGAACAGGGTGGAGGAAAAAGATGAAGCCAGACCACTGATAAGCATTATTCTTTTATATCAGTGCAAATAGAGAGATAGAGGAGAGAGAGAGTGAGTGTCTGTGTGCCAAGTGATAGTTCCTCATGGGATCTGCTGGAGGAATTCGTTAGCCCTACTCTTGGCTAGACCACTGAATTCAGTGGCTTTGGCAAATCAAGAGATGGCAGTGTGAGCCTATCATAGGGAGGGAGTTAACTGGTACCTGCAGCTGATGGCATCCCCTTGCCTCACATCTATCCTTTAGAAGAGCTGTGAACTCTCTGAACTTATCCTTGGCACCTGGACTTGTTTCAGCCATAGTGCTTTTGGCCTCTGGATGGGATACCTAGGGAATTCGTTGTTTGTACATGAAGCAACTGTTGGGAGCCCTGTACTGCTGTATAATAATCAAGAGTGGAAATATGTCATAAAAAAGTGTTTGTGCTGGATGCAAGCACTTTAAACAGATCTCTGCTTCCAGGACTGCAACGTAGGATGGCAGTGCTCAGCATTTTGCATTGCATCTTTCTCCTTAACCCTGTGCTAAATCTCCCTGTAAATAATTGTACTTATGGTGCCAATTCATTGGCACCATTTTCATTCTTTTGATATCCTTCTTTCTTCTTTTTGTTTTATTTTAGAGTCCCAATCCACTACTCACTTTCAGTGTTAAGACACATGACCGGATATACTATATGGTTGCTCCAACGCCAGAAGCCATGAGAATATGGATGGATGTTATTGTTACAGGCGCAGAAGGCTACACCCACTTCATGTTATAATAAAATGGGGCAATAGGGCATATTGCAATAACCTAACATATGAAGTTAGCCATATGTAGTAAAATCCGAAAAGCCACATACATTGCTGGTGAATGCTCAGAAATACCCTCCTTATGATGTGCACCCAAAACGTCAGAATGAAAGGGTTTTATAAATGCACTGAAAAGGAGGACCTGTTGCTTATTTTAGTTGATCTGTATAGGAGCAAAAGAGCTAAAGCTGTTCAGTCATAGTGCTCTGAAATGGATAATCAGGCAGTTTGAATGACAGCATCTTAATTCAATGATAGTTTTGTAAAAATTCTCCTATACAGAGAATGTCTTCATAAACTCATACTAAACAGTTTACAAATGTGCGTGTTCTCATCTGTATGCAACAATTCTAGTAATGGAACAAAAAGGTATAATAGCATATATTTTAATATGCAGCATTTGACATTTATAGATGATTAGCTGACTTTTTAAAACTCTTTTAGTCAAGTATTTTATAAAACAAAAAGAAAAAAAAAAGGAAACCTAAGGTACACACACTTGCCTTAGTAGTTAAGCATTACAACAGAGCCAAAGAGTTATACAGTTCCCCTATCATAATGTTTTTCTTTTTCAAATTGTTAGTTGTACTTTAGCTTTCTGTAATAGGACAGTGCCAAAACTCTTCCTGACTTTTAACATAATTAAATTGTTAAAATATTCTGTATAGTCAAATAACCCAGTTGCACCAACTGGATATTTTGGATATTTAAAGTCTGCATATGTGCAGCTCAACAAAAAAAAAAAAAAAAGAAAGGAAACTGACATTAGAAGGAAACTTTATCATAAGGAGGTGTTTTCTTAAACTGCCTTGTTGAGTAAATTGCGCTGGATCTTACACCAATTTTCTTTTGATGTAGTCAGGTCCCAGAATGGTTCTAATCTTACTGTGTGCCAAGTGAACGCTCTACTCAGATGTCTCAGATACTGGTCCCTGTGAGGCCAGTGTCAAAATTCACTGAAGCCAAGATTTCAGTCTAGAATATTTGTTTTTTATATGCATGTCTGTACAAAGTAATGCTGTCACATAGAATGCAAATAAAGAGGCAAGTTCTAAGAGTTTACACTAAGCAGTGTATAAAAAAAAAAAAAAAAGAAAAAACCCAAAGTTTTAAGTAACTGAAATCTGAAGATACAGTGGTCCCCCATTTTAAAACTACTTTCAGGTCCTTGACAAATGTTGCAAAAACATAGAAGTATTTAATGGAACTGAATTTCAAGAAAGTCTCATATATTACGACTTTAACGAGGTCCTCATTCCAGTAAGTAAGAGTTGTATGTGCTATGTGGTTTGTGTAAGTAAAGCAAGCCCATCAGACATTTTCCCTTAATGAAAAGTTAATGGCTTTTGATGGAGCAAATTAAAAACTGAAAGCAGAAAACAAAATAGGCTGACAGTATTTTTATTGTACTTTTAAAACCCTGTATCTGTAATGAACGGGTATTAATTTTTTGTGGTATACACAGGTGACATGGTTGGTCTAGCATGATGTACACCACTTGTGACTTGAATCATGAAAGAAGGGACAGTTATCATCTGTGCAGATCACCATAAGACGCTTGTAATCTAACGATTTAAAGCACTATCAGAAATTAATTGCTTTGGTTTATATAATTATTATTGTTCCCTGATGTATCTTGATTTTACTTATAAGTATGGTTTTCTAATCATGATTTTTGTATCCTGCATGATGCAATGAAGGCATTTCAGTAAATGTTTTTAAAAATACGTGTGTTTTAAATATTCACCTCATTCTTCATTTTGAGGTTTTTCTGCTTTTCTTTTAAACAATTTTGCATACACTTGTGTAAGCAGTTTTGTCTTTCTCAGTAATAATTATTCTAGCCATTCCTTTTTTTTCCTCAGAAAAGAGCAACAAAAAATAATACTTCAGGAATGGCAGTGAAATTAGGAGCATAGTCTGTTTATTGCATATACATAACTTACCGATTTTTACAATCCACCCAGTTTGAAAATTGTAAATCAACAGCCCTGGAAACTTTTTGTTTAACTACAAAATAGAAATTGCTGTATCTCACGATTTTCACAGTTTGGCTAATATTTTGTTTTGATTGTGACCCTGACGGCAGGCGATAGCAGCGCCCTCCTCATAGGAGCCCATGCAGTTTGTGCCTCCTTCAGGAGGATTTCCGTTGCCATCACACACACGCAGAGGGGTGGGTTTTGCACTGGTGCACATCAAGACGGAGTAACCTACGCAGTTTTGCCATGTACCATGTTAAGCCAAGAGCGGTAGGCTCCATCTCCCACGATCAGCCAGCGAGCCCAGCAAGCTTGCCTGCGGGGCAGTCGGGTGCCTCCTTTACCTTCGAGCATGCCGCGATGGGGCATTTACAAAACACCGGGGCTGTATCCAGCAGCTTCCACCGCTGGTGGGTTGGTAGGTGGGTTGGTAGGTGCGTTGCTGGCCCTTTCACGCAGGGACATGGCTGGCACTTCCATGAGGGAACACCCTTGGCCCTGTGGGCGCTGACTTCTCTTAGCGTTATTTCCTTTCTTTTCGGGTGCCCGCCGTGGCCGGTATATAAAAGGTACAGGGGGTCAAGAGCTGTTCGAAGTAAAACCATGTTTTGGCAACCTTGGCCTTTATTTGCATGGACGAGTACTGGCGGGGGAAACGGTAGCTGAGGATCAGTTACTTAGAAGGGCCGGTAGGTGGAGAAATTGTTAAGCGCTAACGCTGCCAGACGGGCGACCGAGGGAGGGAGGAACGGGTCTTGAACGATCCTTTCTGGCCGCGCCTGTAAGAGCCACGTAGTTACATGCAACAAAATGTCTTACGCCCACGTATCTAGAGAATACCTGAAATACTCGACTTTTTTAGACTGGGTCTTACGAGCCCTTAAACAGAGAGGCCTCTGCCGACGATCACCCCTCGGGAACACATCGCCTCTAAGGCAACAACGCCCATGACGCGTTTGGGGTAAATTTTAGCATTCCCTCCTCAACACCAGCCCTAACGGCCGCGGGAAGGCGGTAACGGCCGCGGGG